CACCACATATACCTACCACACACAACTACCACATATACCTACACACACACACCACATATACACACCCACATATACCTACCACACACAACTACAACATATACCACATATACCTACCACACACAACTACCACATATACACACACACAACTACCACATATACCTACCTACACACACACACACACATATACCTACCACATATACCTACCACACATACCTACCACACACAACTACCACACACAACCACACACAACTACCACACACATACCACATATACCACATATACCTACCACACACAACTACCACATATACCTACCACACACACACACCTACCACATATATACCTACCACATATACCTACCTACCACATATACCTACCACACACAACTACCACATATACCTACCACATATACCTACCACACACAACTACAACATATACCTACCACACACAACTACCACATATACCTACCACACACAACTACCACATATACCTACCACACACAACTACCACATATACCTACCACACACAACTTACCACATATACCTACCACACACAACTACACACACATACCTACCACATATACCACATATACCTACACACAACACACAACTACAACTACCACATATACCTACCACACACAACTACCACATATACCTACCACACACAACTACCACATATACCTACCACACACACACAACTACCACATATACCTATACCACACACAACTACACACACATACCTACCACACACAACTACCACACATACCTACCACACACAACTACCACACATACCTACCACACACAACTACCACACAACTACATACCTACCACACACACCTACCACACATACCACACACACATATACCACACACAACTACCACATATACCTACCACACACAACTACCACATATACCTACCACACACAACTACAACATATACCTACCACACACAACTACCATATATACCTACCACATATACCTACCACACACAACTACCACATATACCTACCACATATACCTACCACACACAACTACCACATATACCATATACCTACCACACACAACTACCACATATACCTACCACACACAACTACCACATATACCTACCACACACAACTACCACACACACCTACCACATATACCTACCACACACACCTACCACACACACCTACCACACACAACTACCACATATACCTACCACACACACTACACCCACACACACCTACCACACACCTACCACACACAACACACAACTACCACATATACCTACCACACACAACTATACCTACCACACACACACATACCTACCACACACAACTACCACATATACCCACATATACCTACCACACACAACTACCACATATACCTACCACACACAACTACCACACATACCTACCACACACACACTACTACCACACACACAACTACCACATATACCTACCACACACACCTACCACACACAACACAACTACCACATATACCTACACACATACACAACTACCACATATACCTACACAACACACACACCTACCACACACAACTACCACACACACCTACCACACACAACTATACCACACACACCTACCACACACAACTACCACATATACCTACCACACACACACACAACTACCACACACCTACCACATATACCTACCACACACACACACACCACACACATACTACCACATATACCTACCACACACACACAACTACCACACACACCTACCACACACAACTACCACATATACCACACACACAACTACCACATATACACACACACAACTACCACATATACCTACCACATATACCTACCACACACAACTACAACATATATCTACCACACACAACTACCACATATACCTACCACACACAACTACCACATATACCTAACACACACAACTACAACATATACCTACCACACACAACTGCCTCATATACCTACCACATATACCTAATACACACAACTACCACATATACTTACCACATATACCTACCACACACAAATACCACATATACCTACCACACACAACTACCACATATACCTACCACACAACTACCACATATACCTACCACACACAACTACAACATATACTTACAACATATACCTACCACACACAACTACCACATATACCTACCACACACAACTACCACATATACCTACCACACACAACTACCACATATACCTACCACATATACCTACCACACACAACTACCACAAATACCTACCACATATACCTACCACACACAACTACAACATATACCTACCACACACAACTACCACATATACCTACCACACACAACTACCACATATACCTACCACACACAACTACAACATATACCTACCACACACAACTACCACATATACCTAATACACACAACTACCACATATACTTACCACATATACCTACCACACACAACTACAACATATACCTACCACATATACCTACCACACACACCTACCACACACAACTACCACACACAACTACCACATATACCTACCACACACAACTACCACATATACCTACCACATATACCTACCACACACAACTACCACATATACCTACCACACACAACTACCACATATACCTACCACATATACCTAATACACACAACTACCACATATACTTACCACATATACCTACCACACACAACTACAACATATACCTACCACACACACCTACCACACACAACTACCACATATACCTACCACACACAACTACCACATATACCTACCACACACAACTACCACATATACCTACCACATATACCTACCACACACAACTACAACATATATCTACCACACACAACTACCACATATACCTACCACACACAACTACCACATATACCTACCACACACAACTACAACATATACCTACCACACACAACTGCCGCATATACCTACCACATATACCTAATACACACAACTACCACATATACTTACCACATATACCTACCACACACAAATACCACATATACCTACCGCACACAACTACCACATATACCTACCACACAACTACCACATATACCTACCACACACAACTACAACATATACTTACAACATATACCTACCACACACAACTACCACATATACCTACCACACACAACTACCACATATACCTACCACACACAACTACCACATATACCTACCACATATACCTAACACACACAACTACCACACACAACTACCACATATACCTACCACATATACCTAACACACACAACTACCACACACAACTACCACATATACCTACCATATACCTACCACACACAAGACTACAACATATTAATACCACATATATAACTACCACTTGCAAATGCAATATTAAACTTCTACATACACAACTACCACTATATTTATGTGTGTACATAACAGCATGGTGTTACTTATGTGTGTAGACCACCAGGACACATACATAACAGCATGGTGTTACTTATGTGTGTAGACCACCAGGACACATACATAACAGCATGGTGTTACTTATGTGTGTAGACCACCAGGACACATACATAACAGCATTGTGTTACTTATGTGTGTAGACTACCAGGACACACACATAACAGCATTGTGTTACTTATGTGTGTAGACTACCAGGACATAACAGCATTGTGTTACTTATGTGTGTAGACTACCAGGACATAACAGCATTGTGTTACTTATGTGTGTAGACTACCAGGACACATACATAACAGCATTGTGTTACTTATGTGTGTAGACTACCAGGACACACACATAACAGCATTGTGTTACTTATGTGTGTAGACTACCAGGACATAACAGCATTGTGTTACTTATGTGTGTAGACTACCAGGACACACACATAACTGCATTGTGTTACTTATGTGTGTAGACCTCCAGGACACACACATAACAGCATTGTGTTACTTTTGTGTTACTTATGTGTGTAGACTACCAGGACACACACATAACTGCATTGTGTTACTTATGTGTGTAGACCTCCAGGACACACACATAACAGCATTGTGTTACTTATGTGTGTAGACTACCAGGACATAACAGCATTGTGTTACATATGTGTGTAGACTACCAGGACATAACAGCATTGTGTTACTTATGTGTGTAGACTACCAGGACACATACATAACAGCATTGTGTTACTTATGTGTGTAGACTACCAGGACACATACATAATAGCATTGTGTTACTTATGTGTGTAGACTACCAGGACACATACATAACAGAATTATTTTACTTATGTGTGTAGCTGGGAGTCAGTTTGTATGTGCTGCAACTTCAAAATAAGCAGTATGTGTACTCACTAAAATACTGAGAAGTAAAAGATATTGTGACCTTGCAGTATTTCCTACTACGACCAACAGAACATACCATAAGTCAGTAACATTGTATGTTTCTATTACTGTAGTCTGTATATCAGCCTGAATCATACAGTATAATTCCACCAAGACTAATAGATATAAAAGTTGATAAAATACAAGAATTTTATTTTAACTATAGTTATATGTGAATTGCTATTTGTTTCAAATACTTTGAACAACTATAGTTTAAAATTAATTTTGAGGCTACACTATTATGGCTAGTAGATTTTAAATATATTTTAAAGAAACCGATTTTTCCAATTGGGACCAGCTCCTCTGACCCTAAGTTTTAAACAAAATTAGGTCCTCTTCCTCCAAGGATGTTTCAGACCAAATTTGATAAATATCTCCTAAGCACCAGACACTGTAGTATCCCTACAGCTCACTTTGCCTTTGGGCAAGGTGAGCCAAAATTGACTTTGAATTTATTAACTCTTTCTGTAGTCAATTAGTAAATTGGTCCTTTGTTTCTGATGACTTTAAAAAAAGACAACAGAAGAAGGGTTATATCCTCATCCTATACCATAGTTCCTGGAGGACAAGAGAGGAGGGGTTATAATCTCCTCCTATGTCACAGTTCGTGGAGGACAAGAGAGAGGGGTTATAACCTCCTCCTATGTCACAGTTCCTGGAAGACAAAAGAGGAAGGCAGATCATTTTTATGACTTACTCAATGTGTACCCATATTCATCCTCTTCTCCGTTGTCCTCTTCCACAACTTCTACAGCTGGTGGAGTGGTTGACTGTTCATTAACTCTCCCTGCCACATCCAATGTCTGGTAAGATAAAGAAGTTAACAAGGGGTCATATAAATATAACTGTCCCTGCCACATCCAATGTCTGGTAAGATAAAAAAGTTAACAAGGGGTTATATAAATATAACTGTCCCTTCCACATCCAATGTCTGGTAAGATAAAAAAGTTAACAAGGGGTTATATAAATATAACTGTCCCTGCCACATCCAATGTCTGGTAAGATAAAAAAGTTAACAAGGGGTCATATAAATATAAATTGCTCTATCCTTATTTGTTTCTACCATACAGCTGTAGAAGGTTCACAAAAATATACCAGCTTTTTTTTTTATTTCAATATCAACTAAATCATCACATGCTTTTGACTCTACAAGTATGACAATAGAACATTAATATTGACTGCATGAATACCACCAAAATCTACTCAGCTGTAAGAATTGAATGTGCCAAAGAGGGAGTATGGATCAAATCTGATCTGTAAATTTCATGGGGGATTTACAGGTTATTTTCTCATAGGTGTGTATAATACTGTCATTGAAAGTGGGTTAAGGTCATTCATTTGAACAAATTTGGCAGCCCTTGGTGTCCAAAATTGAATACTATAATCCTAGCTTGATTGAAATTGAGTGTTTTAATACATTCTTACATAACTGTAGTATAAAATCTTGAACATATGTGAATTCATGTATACTGGAAAAAGGACAAAAATAAGCAGGGGTGAATATAACCCAGCATACAGTATGCCAAATATCATGATTCTTGACTTTTAGGTATATCTAGAATGTTTGAGCATTTCCACAAATTTGACCTTTGTGACCTTACACATCAGTCAAAGTAATTCCTTTTTCCAAACTTTGTTGTGGTTCATTCTAAAATCCTGTGAGCCAAATATCTGTGTCATTTGCTTATTAAAAGATGTTGTTAAATCTTTCTAAGAAATTTGACTTGTGTAAGCTTGAATATAGGTCAAGGTCATTTATTCTCAAAATCTTCTATGCCTTCATTCTGGGAAGCTGCCTGCTAAACATTGGTAGATACTTGGACTTTTGTTGGAGATGATGGCCTGATTTAGTTAATAGTGTCAGAATTATCTTGTTGTTAAAGAATCTTGAGTATAACTAAGTGTAAGGGAAGATTTTAACCCAATTTTGCATGAGTTATCACCATGAATTTCAATTTCTTTGAGTTCGAAATTGCTGAACCTCCTTGGATTTTCGAGACACCAAAACAAATATTTCAGCTTGTTTCTAGATCTTGGAGAACTGGTTATTTGGGTAAAAATTGCAAAAATTAAAGCATGGAGACCCCCTTTATCAATCATGAAAAGTTTCCTAAAAAATTTCATAACCCAAACATAAAGTCTTAAAAAAGGATTTTGGTCGTTTTGGAATATTTCTTTGTTTTGCTTGCAATGCAATCTAAAGCTTGTTAAATAAAATGAAAACTTCACACTTTCACATCATTTTTCTTAACTAATATCTGAGTATCATACCATTGCTTTGTAATGAAAGATGAAATTTTCTCTTAAAAAAATTGGCCATGACAATAACAGAGAAAAATATCAAAATAATATGCGAAGATGAATTATTTCCTGTTTCACATATTTGGACTCCTATACCAGAGAAAGTGGTTCAGTAACATACTGAAATTTGGCTTTTAATCTACTTTTAAAATCGAACCTTTCCAATAACCTTCATCAGTAGAAAGTTTAACACTGGATTTTTTATTTTCATTTCCTAGAGGAGTACGTTTTACAGGAAAATACCCTGTATTGACACTGGGCAGATGACAAACACCACACCATGACATCAGCTCACCTTGTTCAGGTAACTCTCACAATTCAAAATGACCCCCTGCTGGCTATTTTGTGTTTCTGAATAGACCCAAATAAGACAATGCACAACTGAATGTGAAATTTTGGAATGATCCATTCAGTACTTGTCTTGAAACACCAATAACAAAAATTATTTGTCTGACAACAGGATGGTAAAACTCACAAAATTCAAAAATTGTATTCTCTATTTGGCCTACATAACCTGTGCCTCTGTTCCTAACGTGATCAAACTCAACAATAATACACAACATTGAGTTCCATTTACATGTGAATGCTTCAGACCATATATAGGCAAGATCTGCCTGGTAATTCATGACTAGTAGCAATGTATTGAATTTTCGGACGTATGAGGGATGCTGCACCAGGACATAAGCTCACCAGTATTATGGATCAAGTGAGCTAATAACTAATGGAATCGGTATTTTTACGGTAATTTTTCATTGGATTATCAGAAGCAATCATATATAACCCTAGAAGAACAGGAAGAACAGCTGTATGATGAGTCGCAGCAAAGGTGTCAGTATATAACAATGATCAGTACCATATATGTAAATCTACATAGAAAAGTTTGCACCAAAGAGGAAATGCTGTTACCAGTAACTCAATTCTACAACATATTTATCAATATAATCTCATTACATCTGCTCATTTGTCTACACTCCAGCTCAATCAATTAACTTTCTAGCAGAGACTGGGAATCTACAGAAATCAATGACAGGACTACCAACACAAGGAAATCTGTCAAACATAGAAGAGACAAGACCTCTACCCACCAGGGCTGATAAATAAATATATATAAAGGATGTCTCATGGCTTCCCAATTAAATATCATGTATTTCACTATTTTCACTTAAGTTAAAACATAGATATAATCTGTCGTACGAGTAAAATTATATATATGATATTTAACAGGAAACCATCAAATTTGTTTTCATTTTTTAAGAAATAAACAAATATAAAAACAATAGGGTCTATATCACTCCTCTGGTTTAGTTTGATGAAATTACTTTATTTTAATGAAATGAAAATGCTTTATAAGAATTTTAAAGATACTCCTCTATTTCCCCTACTTGGGGTCACCCTTAAGACCCTAAGGTGCAGAGATCTTATTTGGTTCACCTATTAATTACTTATAGTTATTAGATATTAGAACAAGTGGCCCCTTGGCCTTAACTTTTTATCTATGTAGATATATATGACAGAGGCTCAATGCCCCTGAATTGCTCACCTGTTCTACAGTTTACACAGAAGACCTTGTCAGTTCATGGTGTCAATATATGCAAACATGAAATTCTATTCCTCATACACACTGGTACACAAATACCATAACCGATTGCTTGTTGAAAGAACAAATCTTAAGTTTTCATTACATCTGACCACAGTGAAATTGCATACTAGACCTTTAAGTCATTGAGAAGATGTTGGAAAATTTTTAAAAATTTGACCCCTGTGACTTTGAAAGAAGGTCAAGGTAATTCTTTTGAACAAATTCTGAAGCCGTTTATCCTGTATGCTTCCTGCCTAATATCAGTACATTTGGCCTTTTATATGCAACATGCTTCAAACCAAATTTGAACAAAAATCAACCATTCCTTGGAAGATGGAATTTAAATAATTTGTTCTATTTCCCCTCTTGAGCTACTCCTTCTGCCCTTGGGGACCAAGACCAATCATTTATAGAAAACTGATTCCCCTACACCATAGATGCTTCAGATGAAATTGGAACAGAATCGATGTATTCGAAAAGAAGGAGGAAAACCTTAAAGAAATTTGCTCTATTTCCCCTATTGCGCCATTTTCTTTCCACTCCAGAGATCAGAGATTTAACGCATATACAAAGTTCACTTCCTATCACCAAAGGATGCTTCAGACTAAAATGTGACAGAATCTTACAGAGAAGAATGATTTTAAAGTGATTTTTTCCCCCCCACCATTTATGGCCATCCTCTCCCATCCAAAGGCAAGAGACCCAATGTTTAAACAAATCTGACTTCTTTTCACTAAAGATGCTTCAAACCAAAATGTGACAGAATCCATGTATTTCTGAAGAAGAAGGATTTTTAAGAATTTGCTCTGTTTCCCCTTATTGAGCCCTGTCCCTTCTGACCTTGAGGGCAAAGTCCTATTATTTATACAAAACTGATTCTCCTCAATCCAAGGATTTCTCAAACAAAGTTGGGATAGAATCCAGGTATTTCTTCAGAAGTATGATGATTTTGAAATTCATACAAATTCACAAAATTGACTCCCTCTTTTTCCAAGGATGCTTTTGATCATATTGATCAAAGATCAAAATCTGTTCAGTTGTTCATGACTTGTAGGGTTTAAAGAAAAAGTTGATAGACAGACACTGTCGAAGCATAAGGTCACTGGTCCTTTGGACCAAGCAAGTTACAACATAAACAACAAGTGTTCCACAAGCATTACAAAATATGCCCGTCCTAAGTTGAGCAACCATAACTGGATGAATTTCAGGCGAATAATTTTGGTTGTAGATTGTCAGATTGATTTCCAAAATTATCAACTGAATTTCCAAAAAGTTAACAGTACTTGTGCAAAAACGGCTAAGACGATTTATATGAAAGTTCAAATTAATAAATGAAAAATTCCTCAAGTTATTGAGGGGAAACCTATTTTGCAAATGTACCAAGGGCCATAACTCTGTAAGTAATGGGCGAAAAATTTGGTTATCGAACTTGACCTGGCTTTTATGGTCATAAAGCTTCATGTGAAGTTTCAAATTAATCTTTAAAAAATTCATGAGTTATCGATCGGAAACCTATTTTGCAAATGTACCAAGGACCATAACTCTGTAATTAATGGGAGAAAAATTTTGGTCGTCGAACTTGACCTGGCTTTTATAGTCATAAAGCTTCATGTGAAGTTTCAAATTAATCTGTAAAAAATAATTCAAGTTATCGAACGGAAACCTATGTGCGGCCGCCCACCCGCATGAGAACATAATAGGTCCCGTCTTTCGATGGGCTTATAAAAAGTAATGTTCATCAAAGTTTGGAAAATATTAGGTGGTTCTTTGACATCAGTTTGAAGTTAAGCTTGACAACAAGGAAAAGGCTTGTTTTATGTGGTAGTCTACCGTAACTCTTTTCATATACTAAATTAAAGACAACTAGAAATGTTAACCGGAATTGCTCCACTGAATATCACCTTATTCAAACTTGCATCAGACATCAACACTGGATTTTTTTGACATCAGATATTGACACAAAATTAATAAAAACATTGAACATTGACACAGAATCTCAAGTTAAATCAGTTTCCTGAAGTGGATCTTTAATGACATCAAATATTGACAGAATATCTCGATATCAGACCTAGTACATGCTAATGACTTAGGATACTGTCACAAATTTCCAGTGATATTAGATATCAACACATGATCTCAAGTGGCATCAGACATCAACACAGGATCTCTAGTGACATCAGACATCAACAGATGATCTCTAGTGACATCAGACATCAACAAATGATCTCTAGTGACACCAGACATCAACACAGAATCTCTTGTGACATATGAAATCAACACAGATTCTCTAGTGACATCAGACATCAACACAGAATCTCTAGTGACATCAGACATCAACACAGGATCCGTAGTGACATCAGATATCAAAACAGGATCTCTAGTGACATCAGACAACAACAGAAGATCTCTAGTGACATCAGACATCAACAAATGATCTCTAGTGACATCAGACATCAACACAGAATCTGTAGTGACATATGACATCGATACAGAATCTCTTGTGACATCAGACATCAACATAACATCTCAAGTGACACCAGACATCAACACAGAATCTCTAGTGACATCAGACATCAACAGAAGATCTGTAGTGACATCAGACATCAACACAGGATCTCTAGTGACATCAGATATCAACAGAAGATCTGTAGTGACATCAGACATCAACAAAGGATATCTAGTGACATCAGACACCATCACACGATCTCTAGTGACATCAAACATCAACACAGTATTCTGGTGACACCAGACATCAACAGAGAATCTCTAGTGACATCAGACAACAACACAGCATCTCTAGTGACATCAGACATCAACACAGAATCTCTTGTGACATCAGACATCAACACAGGATCTCTAGTGACACCAGACATCAACACAGGATCTCTAGTGACACCAGACATCAACACAGGATCTCTAGTGACATCAGACATCAACACTGAATCTCTAGTGACATCAGTAATCAACACAGAATCGCTAGTGACACCAGACATCACTACAGAATCTCTAGTGACATCAGACATCATCACAGAATCTATTGTGACATATGAAATCAACACAGAATCTCTAGTGACATTTGACATCAACACATGATCTCTAGTGACATCAGGCATCAACACTGAATCTCTAGTGACATCACACATCACCACAGGATCTCTAGTGACATCAGGCATCAACACTGAATCTCTAGTGACATCACACATCACCACAGGATCTCTAGTGACATCAGGCATCAACACAGGATCTCTAGTGACATCAGACATCAACTCAGGATGACTAGTGACATCAGACATCAACACAGAATCTCTAGTGACATCAGACATCAACAAAGAATATCTAGTGAAATCAGACATCAACACAGATTCTCTAGTGACATCAGACATCAACACATGATCTTTAGTCACATAAGATATCAACACAGAATCTCTAGTGACATTTGACATCAACACATGATCTCTAGTGACATCAGACATCAACACTGAATCTCTAGTGACATCACACATCACCACAGGATCTCTAGTGACATCAGGCATCAACACTGAATCTCTAGTGACATCACACATCACCACAGGATCTCTACACATCACCACAGTGACATCAGGCATCAACACAGGATCTCTAGTGACATCAGACATCAACTCAGGATGACTAGTGACATCAGACATCAACACAGAATCTCTAGTGACATCAGACATCAACAAAGAATATCTAGTGAAATCAGACATCAACACAGATTCTCTAGTGACATCAGACATCAACACATGATCTTTAGTCACATAAGATATCAACACAGGATCTCTAGTGACATCAGACATCAACACAGGATGACTAGTGACATCAGACATCAACACAGAATCTCTTGTGACATATGAAATCAACACAAAATCTCTAGTGACATTTGATATCAATTGAAGATCTCTAGTGACATCACACATCAACACAGAATCTCTAGTGACACCAGGCATCAACACAGGATCTTTACTGACATAGGACATCAACACAGGATCTCTAGTGACATCAGAAATCAACACAGAATCTCTAATGACATCAGACATCAACACAGAGTCTCTAGTGACATCAGACATCAACGCAGAATCTCTAGTGATATCAGTCATTAACACAGGATCTCTAGTGACATCAGATATCAACACAGAATCTCTAGTGACATCAGTAATCAACACAGATTTAACTGTACCAGCACATGGTTTTAAATGACAGACATTTAGTATTATGTTTGTAATTTATTATGATGTACAATACCTGCTGCGGTAAGCAGAAAGCCTCTTCGTATGACTGCACTGACTTCGTGTCGATTTCCAGATCTGTTGGCTGCAAAAGTAAGGACACTTTTCAGAACTGAAATACTGTACATACATAAACTAGATCTATACAGACAAATGTTTAGCATCATTGACCCATTTGACTCCATCACCTTGAAAACTGGTAAACAAAATTAAAGGAATTAACTCTAAAACCATTTACCTTAACATGATATACTCCAGGGATAAATAAAAGCAGGGTGACATTATTTGCAATATCTTGCGAACGCATTGTTCAAAAGCAATAAAAAAAAATAGGTCAAGAAACTCTCTAGGTTACTGTGCACATGGTGAAAGCAACACAGGATTGCTAGTGACATCAAACAAGAATACTAAATCTAGAGTGACATCAGACATCATCATCCCTTTTCTAGTGAATCGGCTGTTAACACTGGATTCCAGGCTGAAACACAGGATATCTTGTGACATCTGACATCAGCTTTCTAGCAACATCAGATATTAACATAAGAACTCTAATGATATCAGACATTAACTCAACAGCATCTCTTTTGACATCAGAAAGTGACCAAATCAGACATCAACATGTGCTCTCAAGTTACATCACACAATGTCACAGGATTCCTTGTTACATCAGATATCAGTACAGTTTTTCATGTGACATCTGATATCAATGAAGAATCTCAATGATATTGGACATCAACACTCTATCTCTAGTGTCATAATATGTCAACATAAAAATCTTTAGTGACATCAAACATCAATACAGATTGATCATATGTTAAATTATTATATTGGTGTCTCAGCATATCCCTGTAGTCTAGAGACTGGTGTCTCAGCATATCCCTGTAGTCTAGAGACTGGTGTCTCACCATATCCCTGTAGTCTAGAGACTGATCATATGTTAAATAGCTGTACTGGTGTCTCACCATATCCCTGTAGTCTAGAGACTCGTGTCTCACCATATCCCTGTAGACTAGAGACTGATCATATGTTAGATGGTTGTACAAAGATCCATAACTCTATATGTTTCATCAAATCAGTACAATTGTTGAACTCATTTGAGATCTTGATGATACAAGAGTCCTAGTGCCCTAATCACCTGAGGTAAGTAATACTTATCATTAAGGCTATAGGATAATTAGTTTTCAAGTGTTTCGAAAAATATGGTGGGAAGACTTAGGTAATATGTTTTATAGCCCTTGGATGCCAGTCAATATATGAATACCATCAAATCTATAATCCCATATTAATAATTTCATTGGAAATTAAACAAATTAAGTTCAAAATTATACTCTTCCTATATAAAGTTTAGGAAACTATACTGGGGCAATGGAATGCACAACTTTTGTAAAGCACCTAGGACACTTCCATCCATGAAAAGCACTTGATTCCACCAATACTTTCAGATTCAGATTCCTTAGGTTGGATTTAGACAAAGTCATACCAATGTGTAACAGACAGGCACACCTTGTGGTCTATTTCCAATATCAATAGTACACAAATATTTATCAGAGATGTCTAAGGGATACAACACCTTGGTTTAGTTAATTCCTCAGATATGTTTTTTTTGTGTATGTGCTTGAAAAAGGAACCCGACACTCACAGTTCTAAGATGTCAAAAGATGTCTCCTAGGATTAGCCAATTAAGGAAATCCTCAAAAATGTCTGAAAAAGATTGGCAGACTGTCAGCCATTTTGATTTTCTGATCAGTCCCAAAAACAAAAGGACAAAACAAGGGTCGAGGGGAAGTAACATGTGAAATTTGACAAAGAGTCACTCTGTCCTCAAGAAATAGCCATAACAAGAATAGTTTAAACCAACAGATGGCAGACAAATAGACAATAGACCATGGGAGCAGGAATGGTTAGCCTACAATGTATATATATCACATATGAACCTTAATCATTATTCATAAGAAATGGTTTGATAATTTTCACATAATCAACTCTTATGACGTTGAAATTTCATTTAATTAATTAAACTTGACAGAATTTTATGCCGAAATATTATTGGCCTAATGTCTCAAGAAAAAGTAACCGAAAGGAAAATGTTGATGCCACACCAGTGATAGATGCCGCACAAATGATCATACCACACAGATGATGATGCCACACAACTGATGATGCCATACAGGTGATGTCACATAGATGATGATGCCAAACCATGGCTTAATCTCACAAGCACCTGGGTGATCTAACATTTAAAAAGTTTCCACTTACACATGCTTGGTCAGTGAGGCTCTGGACCAGAAACTTGACTGGTGTTGATGCATTCCGGATTATTTCAACAGCCTGGTCATGTGATGCATTTCTCAGATCTTTCCCATCCACCTGAGGAAAAATCAACAATTTAATGGATGTTTCATAAGCCCTTAACATTCCTTTAGAATTTTACACAAGAGCCAAAAGGCACCAGAATCACTCACCACCTCCCTATCAAACAAATCTTTGTCTTTTCATTTAATTTCTGCAAAACAAAAAGCTCATTTCCCAAGCAGACACCACACATAAACCCTAACCTAGGCTAGACAGGTTACTGAAAGAACAAGAGTATCATTGAAACTGAGGAAAGCTCCCCCAAAAATGACTTATTGGACACAAAATTGAACAAAGGGTAATAACTCTGTAATAATAAGGATTGCAGGAACTAACTTTGGCTCACTGTACATTATCTTAGTATGATTAATATATACAACAAGTTTCATTATCTTACCTTAAATGCAAACAAAGTTATGCTCTGGACAAGATTTTTTAAACAAAGGGCAATAACTCTGTAATTGAGGGGTCAAGTGCCCTGAATTTGGTAGAGCATATTGTCTTAGTATGATCAATACATATATTAAGTATCAAGTATCATGATCCTTGCTTTACTGTGGACAAAGTTATGCTCTGGACAACAAAGGACAGATTTAAGACGAACGGACAAGGCAGTAACAATATGCCTAGATACATTTTGAATAAATTTGAACAGCTTTATCCCAGCATGCAACAAACCAAATATCATGGCCCTGGGCCCATGGGTTATTGAGAAAAAGTAGTATAAAGATTTTAAGAAGACTTTAAAATATATGACCTCTGTAGCCTTGAAAGTGTATCAAGGTCATTAATATGAGTAAACATGGTAGTCCTCCACTCCTTCACCCTTACTGGTATTTAACTGTAATCTGGGCAAGTTGATCTTTGAGAAGAAGTTGTTTGAAGATTTTACCAACCTGAGCTTCATTGTGCTCAAGCTAATGTGAACCAACAAGGTAGCCATGTATTTTTTCATTCCAAGGCCAAATATCAGTATTCTGGGCCTACTGGTTTTTGAAAAGAAGTTGTTTGAAGATTTTACCATCTGACCTTCATTGTGCTCAAGCTAATGTGAACCAACAAGGTAGCCATGTATTCTTTCATTCCAAGGCCAAATATCAGTATTCTGGGCCTACTGGTTTTTGAGAAGAAGTTGTTTGAAGAATAGCTATAAACTTTTATTCTTAAAATCCCAAATGGTTGCCTGTCAGCCAATTTTGTTTCACTGATTAGTCTCAAAAGCGCACAAGGACCCAAGGAAACTTATAAAAGAAATCTGAGAAAGACCCATTCTGTACCTGTTTTGAAATGCTATAACAAACTCCACCATTTTAATCTTAATCAGTTTTGGAAATCAAAATGGAACATGTACCAGTGGGAAACTACTGATGAATTTTGAGAAATATCTGTCCTGTAGTTCTCAAGAAATAGCGATAAATTAATTGTCAATGGCCAAAATTGCTGCCTGCACCCCTTTTTCGCTTTTCAGATCAGTCCTGAAATCGAAAGAATGGTCTAAAGATTGACAGATGAAGGGCCATCTGATGAGAATGGGGTCGAAATTCAACAATGCTTCTGACCAGTTTGTTGATAGATTACAGAATGACGACAGACAAAGGAGTATAAGGTCATTGGTCAATCGTAGTCATGAATAGGACAGAAGTATCCCACATGTATCTCTTGTCATTTCAAAGTTTTGAAACCTGAGTTTGATCATCTGTAAGGGCTTTGTATTATGTATTTTTGAAAGTATCTTTTGAGTAACAAGGACCTTGACTTAGAATGTAGACATCATCATGAGAAATTTCTCAGTTGGCCTTTTTAAAGGAATTATATATGTATTAAGGAATTATACATGTATTTAGGAATTATATATGTATCAAGGAAATATATTTGTATTAAGAAATTATATTTGTATAAAGGAATTATACATGTGTAAAGAAATTATATTTGTATTCAGGAATTATATATGTATTTTGACAGTTAACATTGCCATTTCTATTTTTAGTACCAGAAACCTTGACCTTAGAAACATTTAAACACCATTGTGATCGTGAAATGACATATCTAGTGTATAAGTAAGATAGGTCATAGTACCACAGCAGTGTATTCTAAAGCCTACATCAATAAATGCTTAAATCAATATGCTTATGAATGCAAACTACAAACAGTTAGTACTTAAATACATAGACACAATTGTCTGTCTATGGTGTAGTAATGTATACCTCCAGAATGCGGTCTCCAGTTTTCAAGGTGCCATTTTTTCCAGCAGGGCTGTCATCTAATACATGTTTGATAAAAATTCCTGAGATTGTGTTTTCTTGCTGGACATGAAACAAATCAACCCTTCCTCCTGTAAAGGAAAGATAAAAAAATAGAAAAAAAATACATTCTACATCACATGAATTTTTCATACAAAACTCAATATGCACATATACCCCCATACTAAACTTTAGATATGTATATCCCCTTCATAAAAAATTCTGAACATATATATAAATATATATATATACTCCGTATATAATTCTGTTTATAGGTAACTCATACAAATTCTGTATATATGTTTATGCTCCTTCATACAAAATTCTGTTTGTATGTTTATGCACCTTCATACAAAACTCTGTGCTTATGTAATCCTTCCATACAAAATTCTGTGCTTATGTAATCCTTCCACCCAAAGTTTCCAATCCATGAGATCAAATGAAAAATGTTTAAACTGATTAACAAGGAGAAGAAAAACAACAAAAAGTCTATCAGAACAGGGAATGTATTCATGTCCTACCCTTTTCCTGTCCTGAACAAAAGGCAGGAAATATCAACAAAATTTTGAATGTGCTACAACACACATTAAATACACTTTAAATTATATCACAGAACATCACTTTTAGGATAGCCCATCATGTACTCATGATTCTATTTATTCTCCCTTCACCACAGAACAGTAGTTCTGTTAGAGGAGATATATAAAACTGATTTTTCTACTTTTTAGTAAGTGACCTTGACCTTTGACCTTCAAAACTGTAAAGCAATCTAAGCAAACACTTTCAGTAATGAAGTATTGTATGAAGTTTGGGTAAGATTGGCCAAAGCAAACTCTAGTTTTCACACAGAAACTGGTTTTCTATTTATAGTAACAGTAACCTTTATCTTTGACCTTTGAAGATGAAAAGCAATCCCCATGAAAGCACTTTCAATAAGGAAGCCCTGTATGAAGTTTGAGCTAGATTCGCCCAAGGCAACTCAAGCTATTGCACGGAAACCAAAGTATATGGCCCTTACAAGTTCTACCACCTCTGTGAAATAATTGTTGGTCCTTTATACTGCTCAAAATTAAGGAAATAGCAGAGAAATTTTGAGGTCATAATGAACTACAAAGGCACTATCAACTCTCTGTGTACTCATGATATCTTCAGATGTCACAGACAAGAGACCTATGGGGCCTGTACCACTTTCAAGGATAGATCAGGTTTCATTGAAAATATTCATATTCATAATTACTTGTTACATTTTCCCCAAAAATATGGGGAATTTTATAGCTTCAAACTACAATTTTACAAAATACTAACATCCATGCCCCCTCCCCCCACTGCCCCCCCCCCCCAAAAAAAAAAAAAATTTAAACTTTTACCTATATTTCCTGCCCCTTTTCAGATCCTTGATTTATATGAAATTGAATCCACTTTCACTCAAGGACATTTGAAGTAAAATTTGGTCAAATGAATGCTTTATCACAACATAAAAAGATGGATTACAAAGATCACATCTATCTACCAACTTTGAAAGTGATTTCCCCCTTTGCACTCAATTCAAACGAAATTTGGTCATTTCAACAAAAGAATGACTTCAAACAATTTTTAAAAGATTCTGCAGCAATATTTTTGTGTCCCCTAATGGGCCCCATCTCTCAAGCCCAAGGGGAATAGATCAACCTTTCATACAAAATTGATTCTCCATTCACCCAATGATATTTCAGCCCAAATTGGGGCAGAACTAGGCATTCCTACAGAAGAAGGCTTTAACAAATTTGGTATATTTCCCCTTATGGGCTTTAAGGGGTGGAGATTCACTGTTTACACAAAATTTAGGCAAAGTCCAAAAGTTTTTACAGAAGAAGGAATATGAAATACTTGCTAAATTCCACCTTTTGCACCCCGCGCCACAGGCCCTTGGAGGCCGAGAACCAATATTTATACAGACTTGGTTCCCCTTCCCAAAGGATGCCTCTGACCAAATTTGATTGAATTCGGTCCCATTGTTCATGACAAGAAGCAATTCTTGATAAAATTTGCTGCAGAGATGATGCGCCAGACATAAAATCACAGGTCCTTCAGACCAGGTGTGCTAATGAAATAAGAATATGTAAAACTTGCAGACATAACAAAAACCAGGATTAGAAATGTGATAATTACACATGAGTGACATGGTAAGCAGGTCAAAACTTACATTATTCATTATTCTATTGTACAATTTTGTAATATTACCAGGTAGATGTAATCGTTAACATAATCGTAAATCATCCTTTCACCTAAGACGACAACATGTACCTGCAATGTGCTTGGAAAAAACATTGTGCAAAAGGCTTACCTTGTTGCTGCTTCCAGTAATGATGGTGAACTTTGAACCGAGTACAGAAAGAATGAGTTTGCCATTACAGGTTTGAAGGTGTTTACTTACCCACTATGCTAATACCTAGTCCCCTATTAGGTTCGCGTGATAACTCCACCATGCGCTGCGGCCCCCACGTCTGGTTACCAGTGGCTGGGGACCCATCAGCAGCCAGAGATTTCTGTCGGGGAGACACTGGTGCAGGCTCCAGTGATGTATTGGTGGTGCTCTGTGTGGTGGCCTCAACTGTGACGGCCTCAACTGTGACGGCAGCATCACTTAATGTGTTGATGGCAGTTGTGGCAGTCTCAGTGGTGACTGCAGTGGAACTTGTTGAGTCCACTACAGACTTACCAGCAAGTGGTGACAGATTCGCTCTGAAAACATAATTTATATCACTGCACAGAATACCAAACAAAGACAATCATGACCTTTCTTAAATGTAACTTATTTTCCAGGGTGAATACATCTAAATCTATCCTCATAAAACATCACATTTTCAAGTGTCCTATTTTGCAAAGATATCTGCAAATTTGTTTTATTTCTAAACAAATAATTTTGATACTAAAAGTATATATATTACATCAAAACTGATGGAAAGTAAGGTTTTGTATAATAGATATTAGTAACAGATAAAATTTGTGTGACGGAACTGATATTAGTAACAGTGAAATTTGTTTGATAGAATTGGTATTAGTAACAGATAAAATTAGTTTGATGGAATAGATATTAGTAACAGATAAAATTAGTTTGATGGAATAGATATTAGTAACAGATAAAAATAGTTTGATGGAACTGATATTAGTAACAGATAAAATTAGTTTGATAGAACTGATATTAGTAACAGATAAAATTAGTTTGATGATATAAGAATTGATATTTTGAGTAACAGATAAAATTAGTTTGATGATATTATAGATAAAATTAGTTTGATGGAATAGATATTAACAGATAAAATTAGTTTGATGGAATAGATATTAGTAACAGATAAAATTAGTTTGAACAGATAAAATTAGTTTGATGGAATAGATATTAGTAACAGATAAAATTAGTTTGATGGAATAGATATGAGTAACAGATAAAAATAGTTTGATGGAACTGATATTAGTAACAGATAAAATTAGTTTGATAGAACTGATATTAGTAACAGATAAAATTAGTTTGATGGAATAGATATTAGTAACAGATAAAATTAGTTTGAAATTGATATTTAACAGATGTTTGATGGACTGATATTAGTAACAGATAAAATTTGTTTGATGGAATAGATATAAGTAACAGATAAAATTAGTTTGAACAGATAAAATTAGTTTGATGGAATAAAATTAGTTTGATATAGATATTAGTAACAGATAAAATTAGTTTGATGGAATAGATATTAGTAACAGATAAAATTAGTTTGATGGAATTGATATTAGTAACAGATAAAATTAGTTTGATGGATGGATATTATTAGTAACAGATAAAATTAGTTTGATGGAATAGATATTAGTAGATAAAATTTAGTTTGACAGAAAAAATATATAAGTAACAGATAAAATTAGTTTGATGGAACTGATATTAGTAACAGATAAAATTTGTTTGACGGAACTGATATTAGTAACAGATAAAATTAGTTTGATGGAATAGATATTAGTAACAGATAAAATTTGTTTGATGGAATAGATATTAGTAACAGATAAAATTAGTTTGAACAGATAAAATTAGGAACTGATATTAGTAACAGATAAAATATAGTAACAGATGGAAATTAGTTTGATGGAACTGATATTAGTAACAGATAAAATTAGTTTGATATTAGTAACAGATAAAATTAGTTTGATTTGATATGGATAAAATTAGTTTGATATTATTAGTAACAGATAAAATTAGTTTGATGGAATAGATATTAGTAACAGATAAAATTAGTTTGATGTTTGATGGAATAGATATTAGTAACAGATAAAATTAGTTTGAATAGATATTAGTAACAGATAAAATTAGTTTGACAGGATAAAACTAGTTTGATGGAACTGATATTAGTAACAGATAAAATTTGTCTGAGATAAAATTATGGAATAACAGATAAAATTAGTTTGATGGAATAGATATTAGTAACAGATAAAATTAGTTTGATGGAATAGATATTAGTAACAGATAAAATTAGTTTGATGGATGGAATAGATATTAGTAACAGATAAAATTAATTTGATGGAATAGATATTAGTAACAGATAAAATTAGTTTGATGGAATAGATATTAGTAACAGATAAAATTAGTTTGATGGAATAGATATTAGTAACAGATAAAATTAGTTTGATGGAATTGATATTAGTAACAGATAAAATTAGTTTCATGGAACTGATATTAGTAACAGATAAAATTAGTTTTATTGAATTAATTATTCATTGTTTATAGAATCCATTGAGTAATTTAATGGACAGTAGGATCCAGGAACTGACAAATAGAAAAGAAATGAAAGCTTTTAACATGAAGTAAGTAGGGTGGAGAGTATGGAGGAAGGGGGTAGACTAAATCACCAGTGGGATAAAGTTATTTTAATGTATTATTATACAGGTTATACTGTCATGAAAAGAAGTTCATGGGCTTTAATGGTCATATGTACTTAAAGTCCTATTTATGATATAACAACAGAAATAGTAGTTAGTACAATTTTTTAAGGATTCAAAGAATTAAAAGATTGACAGTAATAGTAACAACAAGCGATCCCAGAAGGATCTAGCCCACCATTGTTTGATCTTTATATGCTGTATGAAAGTCAGATCTTTTCACTTCTTTTCTCTTCTCTTCTCTGTTTTCGTTCTTAATGATAAGCCATTTGAACATTCCTTTGTAGAAATAGTGATAATGATCTTTACCTCCCAAATCCAAACTGACCACCTAGACCAACTAGAAGCCATTTTGTGTCTTCTGATCAGTCCCCAAATCACACAAACACAAGGAGATACCAAAAGAAACATATGTATGAAATTTGAGAGATATCCATTAAGCACTTCTTAAGAAAAAGCAATAACAATCTTTACTTAGCAAAATCCAAGATGGCTCCTTGTTGGCCATTTTGCATTTCTGATCAGACCAAAAATCAGACTGGCACAACAAGGGACCTAAAAGAACCTATACAAGAAATTTGGGAAAGATCTACAGAGTAACAAACTTTTGATGCCAGAATCCAAGATGGCCACTTGCAGACCATTTTGTTTTTCCTAATCAGTACTAAAATCAAACAGGCACAACTAGGAATCATTGAAAGCATACACATGAAATTTGAGAAAGATCTGTGCTAGAGTTCTCAAGAAATAGTGATAATGAACTTTCAAAGTCAAATTCTAAGACGTTCGTCTGTTCTCCATTTTGTTTCTCTGGTCAGTCCCAAAATTACATGGGCACAACTAGAGACCATGAGGAATGTACATATGCAATTTGAAAAAAATCCATCCACTGCTTCTCAAGAAATAGCGATAGCAAAAATTTTTTAAAGACGAATGGACGGACGGCCAACGGACCACGGAGACATAGCAATTTGAATAGCCCACCATCTGGCTGACAAAACAAAAACACTTTCTTCACTTTCTCAACATTTCTTTCAAACTTAAGCTGTATGACACCATGTAGAAAAGAATAAATCAAAATTGTATCTCTATAGATAATGTCCACATTAGACTTTAGACCAATCTGAAAAATAGTAACACCTGGTTATGACTGTTTTGGGATCATCTCAGGTATGGCTGAGCTAAATCTAATGGGTTGGACATGAGAAGTTTAAAATAGGCATTGTTTAAGAAAGCCATGACTGTTAAACAATGATACAAAGTGGCTGCCATAGCTGGCATTTTAAAGTTTTGCCAAAACCCCAAAATAAGAACATGTTTTTGGCTTCATTTCCTTAGCATCCTCATCAATTTTCACGATCCAATAGCACTTGTGGAACTTGAAAAGAGGTTTGAAATACAGTTTTAAAGATGGCAGCCATGGCAGTCATATTAGATTTCTGAGTGATGTGTAAAACAAGAAGAAAATACCAGCATGTCAACATAAATGTATTTCAAACTCAAATTCAATAAAACTAGGGTGAAATATGAACAAAAGAATGATTTACAAGGAGACTCCTGAAAAAGGACAGGGAGAATAAGACAAGGTGTTCTGGAAGAAAAAGCGTCTTTTGCTTCATTGAAAACACCCAAAATCCTTTGTTAATCCAAGTTAGTAATATCATGTTCTCAAAAAGAACAGAGTACACAAAAATGGAACCAACAGGTAAATTAACAAGCATCACACACCAAGCTTCATATCACACAAAGACATAGAATATATCTTAATGAGATCACCATGACGACTGTAAAACTACCCCATAATTTTCATCAACCTGCATCTCTTGAAATCCTGTGTGTTATGAGTTTGTTCAGTTGACGCCTTCCATGAAAATCGATAATGGGAACACAAATAGCATCACTCGTTAAGATTATCTTGGGATAATTTCTGGCAGCTAAATCCCAGGAATCAAACTTAAAAAGAAGTTTGAAACATTTGGTGTTCCAGAGAGCCATTATCTAAGTTTCAAAAGCAGTTACTTTTCAAAATATAGTTGAATCAAACTGCTGTTCAGGAAAACACAAATTAATGTCATGGTAATGTAGCTAACCACATTTGAAAAAAATCAGTTGGAAACTGAAAGAGGACATCTCCGAAAATACTAACAATGCAAGGGACACTAACTCTTCTAAATACGATAAAATCAAACTGTCTTCAGGAAAACACAAATTAATGCCATGGTGATAACGCCTACTATGTTTGAAAGAAATTGGTTGAAAACTGTTGGAGGAGATCTCTGCACAAATAAAATTGACGACAAATGGACTGATGGATGGATGGACAACACATAATGTATCCAATGGAAACTTTTGACAGGCATATATAAATCCGAAATGGCCATCCATTAGCCATCTTGCTTTTCTGATCAGCTTCAAAATGCATGAGGGAAGCTACATATGAAACTTGAGACCGAATCATCCAGTACTTCTCAAGCAATAAAGATAACAATCTATTACTATCAAAATACAAGATGGAAGTCTGTCTGCCATTTTGTTCTTAAGATCAGTCCAAAAAATGAGGCATTACACAACTTAGGACAAAGAGGAACACACTTATAAAATTTGGAAATGATACATTCAATGCTTTTTGTGTAATAGAGATAATAAGAATTGTTTAAGGAGAGAGGGATGGACAGATGATGAATGCAAAATGGTGAACCACAGATATTAGGTAATTTGAATGGCCCACCATCTGATGACAGTGGGATTACAAGGTTACATAGACAACAGTTTATCTGTTCAGCATTCTCTTGATACCAAACAAAATGGTACAGAATTGTTTCCCCTTGATTACTATATTTTGCTGGTTACAAGCCGCACCAGTATATAAGCTGCAGGTTTTTTTTTTGATCCACATATAAGTCGATTGGAATAAAAGCCACGTCCTTTCTTATGAAATGGTGACTGTTATGTGACCAAAGTTCAGGATAAATGAGGGCAATTTATCAAGATCATCAGTGAAATATGTAATAAAGTTTGCAAATGAATTTTACACAAATAGTCCTATATCTTATTGATGTATTTAAAAAAAAGTAAAGTAGCAAATATTGAACTTGTTTGGTTTGAGTGCCTTCACAGATTGTCTATGCACAGATATAGGGCCTGAAATTACGTATTGTTTACTTCAATCTCTACATCAGTGTCTGTACTGTTTGATATCAATGAAGACCATTGCATGTTGACCAAATACTTATAGTCCCATAAATCATTTCTTCTTGAAAGTTACACAAAGCCATTCATTCATTCTAGAATTTGACCTTTAACCTGCAGCTAGTGACCTATCAATCCCAAAATACAAAAGGCTATTGTAAACTATGGCTTGAAAGAAACTGTGAAAATCCATAATATATTATTGTGATTCATATTAAAAGGTCTAATTGATTAAATCCATGAGAATGTTATTTTTCTTTCAATTCTAAAATCATCCTATATACGATTGCAAATGACAGTCCTAGACAATCACTTTCAGTCACAAGCATGTGATGGACAAGAGGTCTCGGGGCCTTGACGATCACCTGAGATAAACAATATTGAATCTAAAGATCAAAGGGTTGCTATCACTGACACTGAACATAGTAAGCCAGTGTCATTACATGCATTCTATCAAAACTCTCATCCTAAACTAATAAATCTTAAAAAGTTATTTCCAGTGGGAAATAAACGTTATGCTCAACACGAGGCCCATGGGCCTTAAAGGTCATCTGACTACAAAAACTTTTAGCAGGGAGCTCAAAGGGTTATTTTTTCTAGTTTGAATGAAACCTTACTAAGAAGTTGCTTTCTATAATGCAGATAGTAGTTTTGGTTAGGAGTAGGTAACTGTAACAAGTGTTACCTATTTTTTGACAGTAAACAGGAAAACAATGACTTTGCAATCATGCTACAAAATGGCCTCTCTGGCTGCTATATCAAAGTTTTGAAAAGGTAAAAAAATAACAACACTTTGTTGGCTACCTTTCCTTAACATTCCCACCAAGTTTTAGCTCAATGGCACCAGTGGAACTGGAGAAGAAATTTTAGATGCTTTTGAACATGGTGGCCATCTTGGATTCCAGACATGCCCCTTTTGGCTCCAACCATCAGCTCTTTTGGGGTCATTTAGGATCAATATGGGCATACCATCAAGCCATTATCCTTCACTCATAACTCTAACCAAGTCTGAAATATTTCCAATGGAAACTAAACAAATTATGCTGAAAAATCTATTTTTCCTATATGAACAGTAGTAAACTTTACCACCTCCCCATGGGGAAATGTGAGACCCTGGGGCCATGAAGTTCACAATTTTGGTAAAGCACCTTCAGATGCTTTCATCCATGAAGAACATTTGATTCTACTATATCTGGGTGTTGAGATGAAGATTTTTAAAATTGAAGTCAATTTGACCCCTTTTGGCCCCACCCATCAGCCCCTAGGGATCAGTCAGGATCAATATGGGCATTCCATCAAGACGTCATCCCTTACTCATAATTCTAACCAAGTTCATTTTCATTTTAGGCCAAGGGGAGTTTCTGCAAAATTTCATTGAAATCGAATCATGAATTATTGAGGAGTCGAAAAAGGTGAACTGTTTACGGACACATGATGCTTAATGAAGGTGATTGCAATAGAAAAAAAAACATTGTCTCGTACTGGTGTACTGGTAAACTTCCTATTCTTCAAACATTTTTTCATCTTGCTAATTTTTTTGTCCACATATAAACCGCAGTGGTATATAAATAAACTGCACGCCCGACCCACAAGGGAAAAAGTTGCAGCTTACAATCCAGTGGCCTTGACCTTGACCCTATAGCTTTGTCATTCAAACTCATCTGAGATATTATGAATGTGACGCTCGAAAAATATCCTTCTAGACATTAACCAGCTAGAGTACTTACAAGAATTTCTTAAAATAGTAACAGTGACCTAGACTTTAGCCTTTCAACCTTGAAACTCCATATTTCCCATGATAATTGGTCCTTATTAAGTGCGTGATGTTAGGATGAAATCCCTGAAGAAATGAATCCACTAGAGTGTTGACAAGGATTCCCTAAATGTAGTAACAGTGACCTCTACAATCCTGTAACTAAGACATGTACAAAATACAATGGGCCTTTTTAAGTTTGTGAATTACAAAAAAAACTTATCAAAATACCATAGGAAGAAATGAAGGTGATCACTGACAAGAACTTAATAACAATAGTACCTCAGACTACAAGATATCATGGTGCTTATTGATAGTGTGAAGCTTGATCCAAATTATTTAGAAATCTTCTATGAATCGGAAGAAATTGGTAAATGAGAAGAAGTCACTTGAGTGTTTCTACAGATCTGATCCCTGTCATACTTAGAAAAAAGGGTCAAGGTCATTTCTTTTTGCAAACTTTGTTGGATAATTTCCATCATCCAAGGAACATGTAAGTCTATATACCTATTGGCTTATGTAAGAAGTCATATACTGTAGGTTTGCTTATTCTACAGGCCTAATATTCTGCAGCTGTTTAAGAACTTGTGTCCCTGTATATAGACATATATTGACTGCAAATATAGCAAAACTACATCCTTCACTAATTTTACCATCTATAAAATCTGACTAACATAACCTTGACTATGAGTCAAGTTAATTTTTTTGTTGGGTTTTATCCCAAGAAACTATAAGCCAAATATCATGAAAGAAGTAGTTCAATGGAGAAAGTTGATGTCAGATTGGTGGACGATGTACCACAGCATAAGCAAGTTAATCAGACTAGCTCTGAAAATAAAATAGGTTTAAAAGAAACAACAGTAAAAGAGTAGTATTGATGTACGAACAGGTGTGAACAGGTGTGGCAAACAGTGTCAATAAATAAACAGGACAACAACCAGCAAAAATAAACACTCTTTCTTACCGATAATGTTTGGGAAATATCCTTTATGCAGCATGTGAAAGAGACACTTAGTTGACAATTCTTTTTGATATACGTATATATAAACTCACATCAAATACCTCTTATCAATATTCCATTTTATGGGATTTTTGGGGACTTGATATTCTAATTCTAACCTTGGGAACATCATTTCTAAGGAAACTGATCATGTAAAAAGAGGCTCAATGGGCCTGCATCACTCACTACTTATCACTGACAAAGGTATCTAAAAATCTGATCTATATCAACAACTTATATGTTTATGCTACAAGGCATTAGCATGATCTGTGTATAACTGTTGGATCCTTTTGTGGTAGACTTAAATCAATACAATTTATCAACAATTGAGCTTTGTGAAAGCTTGATCAAATTTCACCCCTTTGACCCTGGAATACAGGTTAAGGTCTTTGCCTTTAGGCCTTATCATAGAAACATGATGAAAAATACATGACTCTAGACTTTCTGTTTAGTCAGATGAAGTTGTTTGAGTGTTTTGCTCACTTTGACCTCTGTGACTTTGAATAGGGGTTAGGTAATTTCATTTTCACAAACTTTCCTCATCTGGGGAAACCTACCAAGAATACAGCTCTAGGTCATTTCTTTTCACAAGCTTTGTCACAGTGTATTCTTGATATCTCCCAGTGAAGTATAATGAATATATAGTTAGGCCTTTTGGTTACTCAGCAAAAGTTGTTATCAACCAAATTAATGGATTTAAAGCATCTTAATTATGAAGTAGTGGGAGAGCCTAAGGAGGTTCGAAGGTGGGGTGGGGTGTACCATCCTTGTACATCATGAGGTAATTGGAGAGTCTAAGGAGGTTTGAAGGTGGGGTGGGGTGTACCATCCTTGTACATCATGATGTAGTTGGAGAATCTACAGAGGGTTTGAAGGTGGGGTGGGGTGTACCATCCTTGTACATCATGATGTAAGGGAGAGTCTAAGGAGGTTTGAAGGTGGGGTGGGGTGTACCATCCTTGTACATCATGATGTAGTGGGAGAGTCTAAGGAGGTTCGAAGGTGGGGTGGGGTGTACCATCCTTGTACATCATGATGTAGTGGGAGAGTCTAAGGAGGTTTAAAGGTGGGGTGGGTTGTACCATCCTTGTACATCATGATGTAGTGGGAGAGTCTAAGAAGGTTCGAAGGTGGGGTGGGGTGTACCATCCTTGTACATCATGATGTAGTGGGAGAGTCTAAGAGGTATAAAGGTGGGGTGGGTTGTACTATCCCTGTACATCATTGTGTTATGGAAGAGTTTCTGTAGAGAGTTGAAGATGGAGGGGTCTAAACTTACTTTGGAGAAGGCATCATGGAGTAGAGAGTGGGGCTCTGTGGAGCAGGTTGATTGGCAGCAGATTCTTTGAAGGCAGCAGCATCTTCACTGGATATGTAGGATATCCTGAAATTCAAATGATAAACAATCTAAATGATCACTTATTGAGACTTAGAACAATTCAGTTCAAGGAAGATTTATATCGGTGTAAACAACAGTCATTGAAATCAAGTAGGATGGCCCTATTACTATTATGGCCCAGACACAAATAGGAACTGTAAGTCAATGGCCAGCTAATACCTCTTGCTACCCATCAATTCACTCATGCATGCTTCAGACCTGGGACAACATCCAGGTATTACTACAGGAGAAGAATTTAAATGGCTCCACTTCCCCTCCTGTGTCCTGCCCGAGGTGTTCGACACTGACTATCTAACTTCACCCAAGCATGCTTCAGACCAAACTGGGACAGAATCCAGGCATCTCTACATAAGAAGAATGATTTTTTTTTCAAACGTTTACCCCTTTTCCATCATTTTGCCCAACCCTTCCCACCCTTGAAGGAAGCAACCCACTATTTATACAAAATTGATTTCCGTTCACCCAAGAATGCTTCAGAACAAATTTGAACAAATCCAATTATTCCTACAGGGGAGTTTAAAGCATTTGTTCTATTTTCCCTTTTGGGCCCCCCTGCCCCAATGGGTCCAGACCCATCATTTAAACAAAACTGATTGTTTTCCACCAAAGAATGTTTCAGGGAAAAATTTGGACAAAATAAAAACATTCTCACAGAAGGAGTAGGATTTTTTTTTTTTAAATTCCATTTACTGCCCCTAATGGGCCCCACCCCTCCTAACATATAGGCAGAGACTCACTGTTTATAACAAAATCATTCTTCTTCACCCATGAATGTTTCAGACCAATTTGAGCAAAATATATGTATTCCTACAAGAGGAGTAGGATTGAAAAGAATTGAATCAGCTTCCCCTTACGGTTCTGAACCTCCTGCCTCAAGGGGCAGAGACCAATATTTCATTCAGAATTAATTCCACTTCACCCAAGCATGCTTCAGACCTAAATCAAATCAATCCTACTGGAGGAGTCAGATTAAAAGAATTCCCCCCCCTCAGGCTCCATCTCTCAGGCCCTTGGGGGCTGAGATCCATCATTTATATAAAATTTGTTCCACTTCCCCAAGAACATATTTGACCGAATTTGGTCAAAATCTACTTAGTCATATATGACTAGCAACCATTCTTTTGGAAAAAAGTTGATGGACAACAGACATTTAAATGACATATGCCCACCAGTCCTTGGCTGATGACCTATAGGCTTTTATACAACAAGACAATTTAGTGAATTACAGTCCCATCACTGAGTATGAAGTTATATGAAAACACAGCAAATGAACTCATGCACCAAGTAGGAAGTTTCAATGAATTGTGGTGTAGGATGTAGAGCCCAGACAAACTTTGATGTAAGTCAAAGGTCAAGACAGACCTTGTTTTGATACATGGCACATCACCTCACCAAGGCAAATCTACACACCAAGTATGAAGTTCAAGTGACTACTAGTGTAGGATATAGAGCCCTGATAATCTTTGCTTTGATGTGGGTCAGAGTGACTTACTTTTAATATACAACACACAACAAAACCAAGGTGACCCCAAACTCCTAAGAAGAAGTGCAAGTGACTAGTAGCATTAAAGGTCAGAGTGACCAAGATGAACCCCTACCCCAAGTATGAATTTCCAGTAACAGGTGGTGGAAACAGGTCCCAGATATAGTAACCAGAAGAATGGATGAAAGGACAAACACAATGTAATATTTTAGCCCCCTCTACTGTTTGGAAATAAAAGTATCTGCATCGTGATCAGGTGTAAAAATTCATGCTCAGTTTCACTGAAATTGGTTCAGGAGTTTAAGAGCAATTGTCTGGACAAGTGTTTTAACTGGCAGATGGACAGTCAACATACCAAGGATGCATGGTGATTTGAACAGCCTATCTGCAAGAGGCCCAAGTGGTTGAATCACTCCCTGTTTTGAGGCTTAAGGAGTCTTTGTTGGTTTGGTTTGTCAAAAATGAAAGTCTATTTCTCAAGCATGCTACTACACAAATACTATGATCCATGACCTATAGCTTGTTGATGAGAAGGCATTTTAAGTTCCAAACAAATTTGAACCTTAGGACTGTTAAAATGGGTCAAGGTCATTCATTTAAAGAAACTTGGTAGCCAATCATCCCACACGCAATATCACACCACCAGGTGCTATTTGGTTACTAGAAGATGTTGTTTAAATATTTTGACCTTGGTGACCTTGACAGGGAGTCTTTTAAACGAACATGGTATCCCTTCGTCCCAGCATGCTACAGGCTTAATATCAGCTTGGGCCTTTTGACGATTGACATTGACAATGGAGGCCATGCCATGGCATAAGCTCACTTGCTCTCCTGGCAGGTGGGTTTGTAATTTCTGAGAATATAACTATATTACACAATACACAAGTTTCTTATTTGCATATTTAACTCAGATGGCATTTGTTGAAAACATCAATGACCTTGCTTAACCTTGAAACTACATAAAAATGATGACAGGAACAACAGCATGACCTCCATATGTGTTACGAAATCTCTTTTATACAATATTTCCTACACACAATGATGCTTCTGAGCCTATTTGCTTAAAACTTTTTCATCCCTACAGAAGAAGGATTTTGAAGATCTCTTTCCACATCAGGCATCTGTCCATCAAACTGTCTGATGTAGGAGCTTTAGGAGGAGACATATCCCTTAATATCTGTATTTGTTTAATGACAATAAGACAGGGGGAATGGAGAAGGAGGGGTTGTTGTCAGATCTTACAATCCCTGTACTGTAAAGCCATGATCTGGACACAAAAGGACAGCCAAATGGACAAATTGGTAACTGTGATATGCTTGTCTGAAACTTTTCTGAAAGCATAATAAAAGCCTTGTTGGATTAAATGATCCCAGTAAGTGTCTTTTGTAGCTGTGAAGTGTCAGGTGGTAGACACTGCTGGAAGACTAAATTTGTTCCAAAGATTTGCCAAATTTACTCCAACCTAAGATCATTCCGCTGTAACCTCTGACAATTAATCAGATTTTTGAAAAGTTTGACAAAATATTAAATGTAAGTTTATACTAGAGCTTAATTTCATTTCAAACTTGTTACCAATCACCAAGTTTTTACGACCTCAGAAATTACCTGCTAAATGATTATGTCAGTTCCAAGGGTGATGATCCAAGGCTAGATTGAAAGCTCTAATGTCACCAAAAATACTGATCTTTGTAATACTTACTCTATGTCTAGGCCAAGCAAAGTGGCTCTGCGGATAATAGCTCGTGCCTGTGCATTGGTGATTCTTCTCAGACTCTCGTTGTTGATTGCAACAATGTAATCCCCTTTTTGTATACGCCCATCCTTGCCCACAGCTCCTGAGTGTAACACCGTCTTCACCACACAACCATTGATTCCTTTGTCCACTGCCTCTACTGTCATGCCTGTACAATTTAAAAGGGCAGACAATATTATTTCTGAGTTATCACATATACCAGACCATTACTTCAGTCCAAACACTAGTTATACTGTATATCACCACACCATTACTTCAGTCCAAACACTAGTTATACTGTATATCACCACACCATTACTTCAGTCCAAACACTAGTTATACTGTATATCACCACACCATTACTTCAGTCCAAACACTAGTTATACTGTATATCACCACACCATTACTTCAGTCCAAACACTAGTTATACTGTATATCACCACACCATTACTTCAGTCCAAACACTAGTTATACTGTATATCACCACACCATTACTTCAGTCCAAACACTAGTTCTACTGTATATCACCACACCATTACTTCAGTTCAAACACTAGTTATACTGTGTATCACCACACACTAGTTAGTACTGTATATCACCACACATTACTTCAGTATATCACCAAACACTAGTTATACTGTATATCACCACACCATTACTTCAGTCCAAACACTAGTTCTACTGTATATCACCACACCATTACTTCAGTCCAAACACTAGTTATACTGTATATCACCACACCATTACTTCAGTCCAAACACTAGTTATACTGTATATCACCACACCATTACTTCAGTCCAAACACTAGTTATACTGTATATCACCACACCATTACTTCAGTCCAAACACTAGTTATACTGTATATCACCACACCATTACTTCAGTCCAAACACTAGTTATACTGTATATCACCACACCATTACTTCAGTCCAAACACTATATCACCACACCATTACTTCAGTCCAAACACTAGTTATACTGTATATCACCACACCATTACTTCAGTCCAAACACTAGTTATACTGTATATCACCACACCATTACTTCAGTCCAAACACTAGTTATACTGTATATCACCACACCATTACTTCAGTCCAAACACTAGTTCTACTGTATATCAAACACTAGTTATACTGTATTCAGTCCAAACACTAGTTATACTGTATATCACCACACCATTACTTCAGTCCAGATCCAAACACTAGTTATACTGTATATCACCACACCATTACTTATATCCAAACACTAGTTAGTTCTACTGTATATCACCACACCATTACTTCAGTTCAAACACTAGTTATACTGTGTATCACCACACCATTACTTCAGTCCAAACACTAGTTATACTGTGTATCACCACACCATTACTTCAGTCCAAACACTAGTTATACTGTATATCACCACACCATTACTTCAGTCCAAACACTAGTTATACTGTATATCACCACACCATTACTTCAGTCCAAACACTAGTTATACTGTATATCACCACACCATTACTTCAGTCCAAACACTAGTTCTACTGTATATCACCCGATCATTACTTCAGTCCAAACACTAGTTATACTGTATATCACCCGATCATTACTTCAGTCCAAACACTAGTTATACTGTATATCACCACACCATTACTTCAGTCCAAACACTAAGCAAAATCCAATCCTTCCCACTGGAGGAGTAGGATTTTAGAAACTTTGCTCCGTTTCCCCTATTGAGCTCAGTCCCGAAGACCAAGACCACGGTTTACTTCTATTTGATTCTCCTTCATACAACAATGCTTCAGACTAAATTTAGGCAAAATCCAATCATTCCTACAGGAGGAGTATGATTTAAAAGAATTCACTCTATTTCTATGATTTAAAAGAATTTGCTCTATTTCCTCTATTGAGCCCCAACGGGCTGAGGACTCATCATTTATACAAAATTGATTCCACTTCACCTCAGAATGCTACTGATCAAATTTGGGGAAAATCCAATCAATTCTACAGGAGGAGTAGGATTTTCCAAATTTCCCGTGATGTAAAATTTGTTCCCCTTCCCCATTTCTTCCGACCATATTTGATCAAAATCCAGTAAATCCTTTATGATTAGTAGTGATTTTTAAGATGGAGGAACTGATGGAAGAGGGATGCCACGGTATGCCACAAGCTCACTTGACCCTTTGGGCCAGGTTACCTAAAGATACTGACTACAAACTTTCATGACAAGAATTGTATTATTACTCATCAAGGAACTGTTTACTTTGATACCAGTGAAGAATTCATGTGATTACAAATGAATAGAATTTACCAAGTTCATCTTTTCCTTTTTTAAGCTTCAGCTTTTTCTCCAATGTTGGCGGTAGGGAATCGGAGCCTCCAGAGAGGGTACGTCGTAGACTTGGGGAAGACATGGGTGAACGCCCCGGGGACATGGTCCGGGGGGAGGAGCAGGGAGAACACTTGTTAAGGTCACTTGCTGCTTGGGCTGGTTCTGACGAGGAAAATGAACCGTCAAGGCTATCTGATTGTCGATGACGGGGAACTCGTGGGCTTATCTGAAAAATTGAAAACACATGTATGAGGATAGAAATGCTAAAAGGACAAGTAAGTTAAATACCGAATGTGATATCGGCCTAGTACTGACATATAAATGGAACTCCTCAGGAAAGTGTCTTTAATTCTTAACAATGTAACTAATGACAATATCTGTTGTCTACTGTGGTCAGATGTCAAAACTTTAGTTTAGTTCTAAATATAGCAATATCCCAATTATCAACCATTATGACACAGCGCATGTACCCTACATAAAGTAAGTCACGAAATGACCTGAGAATTAGTTACAGTTGGACATATTAAAAATGGTTTTAAATGGTTTTTTTCAAATTTTCCCTAAAATTGGTCAGTCAAATGCTATTTGAAAAAAGAGGTCCAACAGACCTGTGTTGCTCACCTTATATTTATATTAACCCTCTCACAAATAGATTAAGGTTTCATATTAACATTTAAAATCTTGTTTATAAAAAATCATTTAAAATTTTTTGTCAATTTGACCTATGACCTTGAATTTGGTTCAAGATCATTCCCTTTCCACAACTCTGTGGAATATCATGCAAGAAACCATTCTGCCAAATTTCATTAACCTAGAACTATTGGTTACTAAGAAATTTGAATGAGTGTCAAGGTCATTTCTTTTTTGTAAATTTTATCAAGATTCATCTTAGAAACACACCAGAAGAATATAATTCCAGGCCTCTTGGTTTTATTGCTGTGACTTTCAAAACGGATCAAGGTCATCTCTTGTTAGTCTACTAAAACCTTCCAGCAAAATATCACAGCTTGATAATTGATAATCAATGTGTGTAATAAACTAAAATAGAGATATGAAGAAGCAGTAAATCACTGAGAAAAAATAAGTGGTATAAAATAAAGTGGTAAATCAGTAAAGTGGTAAATCAGTAAAGAAAAAAGCAGTGGTAAATCAGTAAAGAAAAAAGCAGTGGTAAATCAGTAAAGAAAAAAGCAGTGGTAAATCAGTAAAGAAAAAAGAAGTGGTAAATCAGTAAAGTGGTAAATCAGTAAAGAAAAAAGCAGTGGTAAATCAGTAAAGAAAAAAGCAGTGGTAAATCAGTAAAGAAAAAAGCAGTGGTAAATCAGTACAGAATAGCAGAAAATTGAAGAAATGGTTATGATAACCTACTCTTTACAAGGAAAAGGATGAAGTAGTGGACAGAATCAAATTCAAGTCTTTGTTCTGACTTACCATATAGCTATATGGTTCACCAAATTATATTGTCAGAGAACCCAGTAGTAATTTTTTATTCATTAATCTAATATTGAAATGGATACTTAGTATAATAATTAATTGAAATAACATTGATTTACAAACATGTACATGTAATATAACCCTTTCAAGTACTTCAGAATTCTTAGTGTATTTTGAGTTGAAAGAAGTAAGAAGGTTTGATCTTGCCAATTTATGCTATGGACACAAACAATTTCACAAAGGGCAATAACTCAACCATAAGAGGTTTTGGGTACTGACTCAAGTACACAGCACATTGTCTTAGTATGTCTTACATCAATATAAGGTTTCATTATCCATACAAAAAGATGGGATGTTCATATACTACAGTAAAAAGTGTTTTATAGGATATCTATATATAGCTGGGATGTCCTATATATAGCTGGGATGTTCTATATAATAAGACAAAAAAGTGTTTTATAGGATATCTATATATAGCTGGGATGTCCTATATATAGCTGGGATGTTCTATATAATAAGACAAAAAAGTGTTTTATAGGATATCTATATATAGCTGGGATGTCCTATATATAGCTGGGATGTTCTATATAATAAGACAAAAAAGTGTTTTATAGGATATCTATATATAGCTGGAATATTCTGATGTCTAAATATAGTATATAATACTGTACAGTGGTACATAGGATATCTATATATAGCTGGGATATTCTGATGTCTAAATATAGTATATAATACTGTACAGTGGTACATAGCACATTGATTACTGGGATGTCATATACAGAACACAAATAACATTGATCAGTTTGCAGGAAAGACAAAGAGTATAATGCAATGAGGATAATTCATGTTATTAAACAGACATGGAGCAGTATAACAAGAGTCCTCTGTAAACACCTATCAATGATGTAATAACAACAGAAGCATGAATCAGTAAATGGTTTCCATGTTTTAAACTTTCACAACATTTGATCAAGATTATCATCCTATCAATTCAAATGAAGCAGACCTAAGTCTGTACATATAGTAGACCTAACCTTTAGGTCTGTACATGCAGCAGACCTAACCTATAGGTCTGTACATGAAGAAGACCTAACCTTTAGGTCTGTACATGCAGTATACCTAACCTATAGGTCTGTATATGCAGTAGACCTAACCTATTGCCCTGTACATGTAGTAGACCTGACCTATTGGTCTGTACATGTAGTAGACCTGACCTATTGCCCTGAACAATTAGTAGACCTAACCTACAGGTATGTAATGCAGTAGACCTAACCTTTAGGTCTGTACATGAAGTAGACCTAACCTAAAGGTCTGTACATGCAGTAGACCTAACCTTTAGGTCTGTACATGTAGTAGACCTAACCTATTGCCCTGTACAAGTAGTAGACCTAACCCATACGTCTGTACAGGCAGTAGACCTAACCTATAGGTCTGTATATGAAGAAGACCTAACCTATAGATCTGTACATGTAGTAGACCTAACCTATAGGTCTGTACAGGCAGCAGACCTGACCTATAGGTTTGTACATGTAGTAGACCTAACCTATAGGTCTGTACATGTAGCAGACCTAACTTATAGGTCTGTACAGGCAGTAGACCTAACCTATTGCCCTGTACATGTAATAGACCTAACCTATAGGTCTGTACATGCAGTAGACCTAACCTATAGGTCTGTACATGCAGTAGACCTAACCTTTAGGTCTGTACATGCAGTAGACCTAACCTCTAGGTCTGTACATGCAGTAGACCTAACCTATTGCCCTGTACATGCAGTAGACCTAACCTATAGGTCTGTACATGTAGTAGACCTGACCTATAGGTTTGTACATGTAGTAGACCTAACCTATAGGTCTGTTCATTTAGCAGACCTTACCTTTAGGTATGTACATGTAGTAGACGTAACCTAAAGGTTTGTACAGGCAGTAGACCTAACCTATTGCCCTGTACAATTAGTAGACCTAACCTACAGGTATGTAATGCAGTAGACCTAACCTTTAGGTCTGTACATGTAGTAGACCTAACCTATAGGTCTGTACATGAAGAAGACCTAACCTTTAGGTCTGTTCATCTAGTAGACCTAACCTATAGGTCTGTACATGCAGCAGACCTAACCTATAGGTCTGTACATGAAGAAGACCTAACCTTTAGGTCTGTACATGCAGTAGACCTAACCTATAGGTCTGTACAGCAGTAGACCTAACCTTTAGGTTTGTACATGCAGTAGACCTAACCTATAGGTCTGTACATGCAGTAGACCTAACCTATTGCCCTGTACATGCAGTAGACCTAACCTATAGGTCTGTACATGCAGCAGACCTAACCTATAGGTCTGTACATGTAGTAGACCTGACCTATAGATCTGCACAGGCAGTAGACCTAACCTAAAGGTCAGTACATGCAGTAGACCTAACCTTTAGGTCTGTACATGCAGTAGACCTAACCTATAGGTTTGTACAGCAGTAGACCTAACCTTCAGGTTTGTACATGCAGTAGACCTAACCTATAGGTCTGTACATGCAGTAGACCTAACCTATTGCCCTGTACATGTAGTAGACCTGACCTATAGGTTTGTACATGCAGTAGACCTAACCTATAGGTCTGTTCATTTAGCATACCTTACCTTTAGGTATGTACATGTAGTAGACATAACCTAAAGGTTTGTACAGGCAGTAGACCTAACCTATTGCCCTGTACAATTAGTAGACCTAACCTACAGGTATGTAATGCAGTAGACCTAACCTTTAGGTCTGTACATGAAGTAGACCTAACCTAAAGGTCTGTACATGCAGTAGACCTAACCTTTAGGTCTGTTCATCTAGTAGACCTAACCTATAGGTCTGTACATGCAGCAGACCTAACCTATAGGTCTGTACATGAAGAAGACCTAACCTTTAGGTCTGTACATGCAGTAGACCTAACCTATAGGTCTGTACAGCAGTAGACCTAACCTTTAGGTTTGTACATGCAGTAGACCTAACCTATAGGTCTGTACATGCAGTAGACCTAACCTATTGCCCTGTACATGCAGTAGACCTAACCTATAGGTCTGTACATGCAGCAGACCTAACCTATAGGTCTGTACATGTAGTAGACCTGACCTATAGATCTGCACAGGCAGTAGACCTAACCTAAAGGTCTATACAGCAGTAGACCTAACCTTCAGGTTTGTACATGCAGTAGACCTAACCTATAGGTCTGTACATGCAGTAGACCTAACCTATAGGTCTGTACATGTAGTAAACCTGACCTATAGGTTTGTACATGCAGTAGACCTAACCTATAGGTCTGTTCATTTAGCATACCTTACCTTTAGGTATGTACATGTAGTAGACGTAACCTAAAGGTTTGTACAGGCAGTAGACCTAACCTATTGCCCTGTACAAGTAGTAGACCTAACCTACAGGTATGTAATGCAGTAGACCTAACCTATAGGTCTGTACATTTAGCAGACCTAACCTATAGGTCTGTACAGGCAGTAGACCTAATCTATTGTGATGTACATGCAGTAGACCTAACCTATTGCCCTGTACATGCAGTAGAGCTAGCCTATTGCCCTGTACATGTAGTAGAGCTAGCCTATTGTCCTGTACATGTAGTAGACCTGACCTATTGGTCTGTACATGTAGTAGACCTGACTTATAGATCTGCACAGGCAGTAGACCAAACCTATTGCCCTGTACAAGTAGTAGACCTAACCCATACGTCTGTACAGGCAGTAGACCTAACCTATAGGTCTGTATATGAAGAAGACCTAACCTATAGATCTGTACATGTAGTAGACCTAACCTATAGGTCTGTACAGGCAGTAGACCTGACCTATAGGTTTGTACATGTAGTAGACCTAACCTATAGGTCTGTACATGCAGTAGACCTAACCTATAGGTCTGTACATGAAGAAGACCTAACCTTTAGGTCTGTACATGCAGTATACCTAACCTATAGGTCTGTACATGCAGTAGACCTAACCTTTAGGTCTGTACATGCAGTAGACCTAACCTATAGATCTGTACATGAAGAAGACCTAACCTTTAGGTCTGTACATGCAGTATACCTAACCTATAGGTCTGTACATGCAGTAGACCTAACCTTTAGGTCTGTACATGCAGTAGACCTAACCTATAGGTCTGTACATGCAGTAGACCTAACCTTTAGGTCTGTATATGCAGTAGACCTAACCTATAGGTCTGTACATGCAGTAGACCTAACCTATTGCCCTGTACATGAAGTAGACCTAACCTATAGGTCTGTACATGAAGTAGACATAACCTTTAGGTCTCTACATGTAGTAGACCTAACCTATAGGTCTGTACATGAAGTAGACCTAACCTTTAGATCTGTACATGTAGTAGACCTAACCTATAGGTCTGTACATGAAGTAGACCTAACCTTTAGATCTGTACATGTAGTAGACCTAACCTATAGGTCTGTACATCTAGTAGACCTAACCTATAGGTCTGTACATGCAGCAGACCTAACCTATAGGTCTGTACATGAAGAAGACCTAACCTATAGGTCTGTACAGCAGCAGACCTAACCTTTAGGTTTGTACATGCAGTAGACCTAACCTATAGGTCTGTACATGCAGTAGACCTAACCTATTGCCCTGTACATGCAGTAGACCTAACCTATAGGTCTGTACATGCAGCAGACCTAACCTATAGGTCTGTACATGTAGTAGACCTGACCTATAGATCTGCACAGGCAGTAGACCTAACCTAAAGGTCTGTACATGCAGTAGACCTAACCTTTAGGTCTGTACATGCAGTAGACCTAACCTATAGGTCTGTACAGCAGTAGACCTAACCTTCAGGTTTGTACATGCAGTAGACCTAACCTATAGGTCTGTACATGCAGTAGACCTAACCTATTGCCCTGTACATGCAGTAGACCTAACCTATAGGTCTGTACATGTAGTAGACCTGACCTATAGGTTTGTAATGTAGTAGACCTAACCTATAGGTCTGTTCATTTAGCAGACCTTACCTTTAGGTATGTACATGTAGTAGACGTAACCTAAAGGTTTGTACAGGCAGTAGACCTAACCTATTGCCCTGTACAAGTAGTAGACCTAACCTACAGGTATGTAATGCAGTAGACCTAACCTATAGGTCTGTACATTTAGCAGACCTAACCTATAGGTCTGTACAGGCAGTAGATCTAACCTATTGCCATGTACATGCAGTAGACCTAACCTATTGCCCTGTACATGCAGTAGAGCTAGCCTATTGCCCTGTACATGTAGTAGAGCTAGCCTATTGTCCTGTACATGTAGTAGAGCTAACCTATTGCCCTGTACATGCATATGAAGAACTTACCTCAACTCTATTATCAGGAGAGGCACCAACGGGGTCTAGTTGTGGAGGAGATGAAGCTGGAAGAGGGGGAGGTGTGTCCTGAAAGGAAGCCAGTTTAGTTAGTATTAGCCAGGATGTACTAAGTGTTAATTCAGTGCAAAACAAATACACATCATCAGATTGTCAACAATGTCTGCATATACTAAAAGTAATTCAGGTCTGAACTTTTAAGTAGGTAACAACACATGGAAAATTAACCCAACAGCATGCATACAGTGATGACAATCTGACAACCTGATTACAATAAACGATGCTGCACAATATGGTTCAGCAATATATCAGCTGATGGAAGCTACTGTAGGGATCAAATTTATTATTACCTTAACAGCAAGCCAAACTAAACATACTGACTTAAATTTATGGATTAGTGTATTGAGTTTTATCTAGGCCAAGGCTAATGATATGCTAAAGGATGGACCTGTGTAACATAACAGTGGGACGAAGGTATTCATCTAAAGAAATAGTCCTTCAATCTACAGACAAGAGCACTACAGAAACATATCAATGGTATTCAAACTCGATCACACATATATTCTCCAGCCTTATAAATTGTTAAAGAAGCCATCTGAGAGTTGTTTAAACAAATTTAACCCCAGACCCAGCTGTTACTATAATTTTAATGTGGCATGGTTGCCACCTACACAAAATTATTTAATGTGGAAAATTTTGGAATTTAATAATTCAGGGGCTTTTAGCTTCCTACCTCATCTAATTTTTTTTACATATTTATTTGTCTCAGTTGCCTCCTATATCAAGGCTTCAACACCCTACGCCCTTAGCATCTCTGACGAGTCCTAGAAGAATGAAACAGGTGTATGTTGTAGCATCTGACGAGTCCTAGAGGAATGAAAAGCTGTATGACACGATTGGATTCATTATTTGACTATACTAAAAACTTCAAAACTATATTGAAAGTTATAATTTGTGCATGCCTTGCCTGATCCTTTCAAGTCCTTTGTACCTAGCAAGCTAAAAGCAAAGCATCTTGATTCCTACTGTGTTTCAATGGACTTCAGACACAACAAAAAAATATCAACATGTCAACATTATCCAAAGTCAAATTCAATTAAACTAGGCAAAATATGAACAAAGGAAACATTTTCATGGAGATTTCCTGTAAAAGTACAAGGAGAATATGACCAGGTGTTCTGGAAACATAAGCCTCTTCTGCTTCATCCAATACACCCATCGTGTCAACCTTGGTCAATCCAAGTAAGTAATGTCATGTTCTCAAATGAGAACAAGGTATACAACAATGGAACTGCCAGGCAAACTAACAAACATGTCTATGTTTCATTGTAGCAAAAGATAGAGATAAACAGCTGATAGAGAGGAGTATGTCCAATTCTGGTCAGTATATACCATGGACATGGTCAATAAATCTCGAGTTATTTAAAGACATGACATCATCAATATATCTGAAAGCGAAATTAAACAACTTTGCAAGGTCTTTGTGAATTGTTGTGATAAGCTCTGTACATATTAAAGCAAAGTGTGAAGTGTGTGAAGACAAGTGTTTGTGTATGTAAGATAAAGTGTATAGAATAATGTCTGATGTTGAAGTATCTAAGGCAGTTTTCTTTTTTCAGTTAAATTGTACATATAATTAAAGAGAAGGTAATTAAAAGTCAATAAAGGGGATAAAAACAAATTCTGAAGAGACTTTCAAATTTGAGTCGTTAAATCGTTGGTCTGACGTGTTACCTGAACATTCTGAGATTTGTTTCTTAGCTCTCAGATTGTTTTTGACTAAATATTTGGGTGCACACATCATACAAGTGGAAGCATATTTACAATATTTTCAACCCAAAAAGTGTCTGCGCACATTTTGCAGGTTTTTATGGCAGCCTACATCATTACATGGTGGACTAAAAATCAAGAGGCCCATCAGGCCTTAACAGTCATTTGACAAAACTACACAGAGAATATCAAAGCTCTACACAAATTATCACATGCAAAATAGATAAATATGAACAACCCTGCAATCTTTGAGAACAAATTTTCATCCTCCTCTGTTATTTCAGGCCAGAATTCAGTTGAAATCTGTCCAGGCAATGACAGGAGAATTTAAAAGTCTCATTTCCGATTGAATCTTTTTCCCTTATTAGGCCCGTTCCTCCTCTCCAAGGAGGTTAAATGCACTGTGTGTACAAAACGGAGTTCTCTTCACCAAAGATGCGCTTCATATCACATCACCATTGTTCATACAAAATTAAGTCTCTTTTACTGAAGAATGCTTCAGACCTAATTTTACCAAAATCCAATCATTTCTACAGGAGGAGTAAGATTTTGAAGAATTGTGTTATTCCTGAAGAACCAGATAGATTTTAAAGTAATTGATAGATTTTCCTCATAAGACCCCGCCCTTCAGGCCCTGGGAGGTCCAGACCCACCACTGATACAGAATTATTTCACATTTCCCCAAGATTACTTCAGATCAGGCGTGGTTAAAACCTGCTCAGCCATACATGACTAGTAGCGATTTATACGATAAATTGATGGACCAGACTACGGAAGCTGGACAACAAACGCCACGCTGTCCCTTATAGCTGACTCGGACCTTCAGGCCAGGTGTGCTAAAAATTTAATCAAAAGAGAGTTGATGAATTCACTTGATAACCTGAGGCAAGAAATAGATCCATGACTCTATTATAACAATAGCATTGTACACACAGTTCTATCCTCTATATGTCACAGTAATTAAAGTGTACATACCAGCGGGCGTCCTTCATATAAAAAACTGACATATATAATAACATGATAATATTGTAATACAAATGACTTACGTTGTCATGTAGTAGTAAGGGTTAGTAGTAGTCCTATCAGGCTGGTAAACATACAGCATCATTTACAGTAAACAGGCCAGCCACAGAAGCTAGTCACGCTCCAGGGGTAATGACAGGTAGGAAATGCTACACAAGGTTAGTACAGGCCTAACAAGGATACTATACCAAAGCAAAACACAACAGCATGCAGCATACTCAATGGTGCATAGCCAAATATAGTAAAGGAATGTTAGGTGACATTATATCGCAGGGTTACACACATTAACTATTTATGATAAAAAAAGGCAAGACAGTACATGATGAAAAAAAAAGCATTTGCATGGCAATGTTGACCTTACACTACACCAGAATTAAGGCAGTACTGCTGACAGCTAGATAAGGCTGACTTTACACTACACAAGAATTCAGGCAGTACTGCTGACAGCAAGGCAAGGCTGACTTTACACTACACCAGAATTAAGGCAGTACTGCTGATAGCTAGATAAGGCTGACTTTACACTACACAAGAATTCAGGCAGTACTGCTGACAGCAAGGCAAGGCTGACTTTACACTACACAAGAATTAAGGCAGTACTGCAGACAGCTAGGCAAGGCTGACTTTACACTACACAAGAATTAAGGCAGTACTGCTGACAGCTAGGCAATGCTGAACTTACACTACACAAGAATTAAGGCAGTACTGCTGACAGCTAGGCAATGCTGAACTTACACTACACAAGAATTAAGGCAGTACTGCTGACAGCTAGGTAAGGCTGACTTTACACTACACAAGAATTAAGGCAGTACTGCAGACAGCTAGGCAAGGCTGATTTTACACTACACAAGAATTAAGGCAGTACTGCAGACAGCTAAGCAAGGCTGACTTTACACTACACCAGAATTAAGGCAGTACTACTGGTAGCTAGGCAAGGCTGACTTTACACTACACAAGAATTAAGGTAGTACTGCTGACAGCTAGGCAATGCTGAACTTACACTACACAAGAATTAAGGCAGTACTGCTGACAGCTAGGCAAGGCTGACTTTACACTACACCAGAATTAAGGCAGTATTGCTGACATCTAGGCAAGGCTGATTTTACACGACACAAGAATTAAGGCAGTACTGCTGACATTTTGAATACTTAGTTTAGAATTGATAACATCATAATACTATGTAATTAAGTATCTGTTAGGATTAACTATGAGTTGATCAGTTTAAAACAGAAGGTTAGTCAAAGCATGCAGTAGAGGCCAGATATATATGTTGTGTCCTTTTTTACCTTGGGCTTGACTTGTATCAGCAGAGCCTTAGGAGGTGTTGGTTTGGGAGGGATCGGGGGAGGTGTCCGCTTGGGCGAAGACACTTTTTTGTCACTTGGGGGCACTGCGTTTATCATGGGCTGGTGAACAAAATATCAGCAACAAATTCATCACATCAAAAGCAACTAGCACATTAAAACTAAAAACATCAACACAAGCACAAAATGAAAAACATTCACAAGCAAAACAAATATTGATGAATGACCTGTGGTAAGTACAACACACCAGGGTTCAGTCACATTTGTAAAGCTGCAAATTTAATGCAGCATTAAGGTGGCATTTAACAGGTCTCCAACTTGATCACCCAAATTGTAATGACTGAAGTATGGCCCTTTGAAAACATGACATAAAGAATCTATAAGATAATGTGATTCTCACCCACATTAGATTCCAAGGGTATCAAGCAGCTGTTGACTGCTACCTGTTCCAGTGGCAAGTCATGATGGCAATTCATATTGTATAGTTATGTGTTCCTGATTGTAAGGACTGCAATATAAAGCCATGGACAGGGAGAATATGGGCACTTTATCTCAGATAACAGGCCAAAATGGTAAGCTGATTTAGGGGGTTAATCTGTAAAATGTTCTTGTACTGTCAATCATCTTTTCTTAAAGAATTTTGACCAGGATTTCTGTTTTCGTTAAATTCTCCTATATCATAATCCAAATAGTGCTACTACCAAGATGGTGCCTCTCAAAGAAAGAAGTTGTGGCTTAAAATCTGAAAAGTACAGCGGTGTATGTTACTTGGACTATGTCCAACACATGTATATATAAAGTAAAGGGCAGATACTTCTCATCCTTTTGTTTTGCAATACTCTTGATTCACTGTGAAATATTCTACTTTAACAAATCACTCTAAACCATTCCAACTTGAACAAATAAGACGGTTGAACTAAAATGGAATATTAGTGAAAAATCCACATCGAAGGATAATGTCTATTATTGTACAGTTATTATGTTTGAGAAATGTTATAATTTCAGGTCCTAAGTGTTGGAGGTTGTTTTACAAGTATTTCCACACAATGACAGGTGAATTGAGTCCAACATTTTAAAAATACAAATGTCTATCACATGTTTTCATAGGCCAAAATGGTATGATAGTACTAGCAAACACAAGTCTGGATATTTGTATTTATGAGTACACAGAATTTTCAAAATACCCAGCAGAATGGCTGATCAATAATTGATAGTTATGTATTTTCCTGAAGATTTTGGATTAAATATCAGTTATATAGGCTACCAGTTTGATTCCAATGTGTTCGATGAAGTTGAGACTTGTGTGATTATATCCCACCTTTGGAATCCTGTGTGATTATATCACACCTGTGGAGACCTGTATGAGTATATCACACCTGTGGAGACCTGTGTGATTATATCCACCTTTGGAATCCTGTGTGATTATATCACACCTGTGGAGACCTGTATGATTATATCACACCTGTGGAGACCTGTGTGATTATATCACACCTGTGGAATCCTGTGTGATTATATCACACCTGTGGAGACCTGTATGATTATATCACACCTGTGGAGACCTGTATGATTATATCCCACCTTTGGAATCCTGTGTGATTATATCACACCTGTGGAGACCTGTGTGATTATATCACACCTGTGGAGACCTGTGTGATTATATCACACCTTTGGAATCCTGTGTAATTAAATCACACCTGTGGAGACCTGTGTGATTATATCACACCTGTGGCGACCTGAGTGATTATATCACCTGTAGAGGCCTGTGTGATTATATCACACCAGTGGAGACCTGTGTGATTATATCACACCTGTGGCGACCTGTGTGATTATATCACACCTGTGGAGACCTGTGTGATTATATCACACCTGCAGAGACCTGTGTTATTATTTCACACCTGTTGACATTATAAGCCACTGTATGAATATAACTATGACATATTGTACCTCATCAGACACTGGACTGGCCCTGACTACTCTTTCTTCCTCTTTCTGAATCACCTCCTCGTCTGCGTACTGTTGTGTGTGAGATTCTGACCGAAGTGGCACGGGAGGTGGCGGTCCATCAGGAATGGGAGGAACTGAAGTAAACATATCATCAAGGTCTCCAGCCGTGGCTTCCTCATAAGTTGGAAGAGCATTTTCATAATCCACAGGAGAGACAGAATGTGGACTTTCTGATGTAAACTTTGCTGACTCCAGCATCGTTTTTGGTTGTGTTGTTTTCATGAAGGTGTCATAGTCTGGCAAGAGTGTTCGTGGCTGTGGAGTGGGCGGGGTTCTGTCCACTGCATGCTCTGCTTGTTGTTGTTGTAGACTAAGCACCACACTGTCGTTCTCATATGACCCAGATGCCATGTTTTTATGTATGTGAGTTCGAGGTGTAGTCACTGGTTTCACAGGCTTGTTAGGTGAAATCATACTGGTGTCTTCATCACTTTCATAGAAACTATCACGATTGGATTTCTGTCTGTCTGGCCTCTCACCAATGGAGTCTGTCTGCATGGAAACAGGAAAGGGGTAATCATCATGCTCAGGAAGTCGTTGTAAGTTTTCAGCGGAGTGGGCGATGTGCTGAGGAGGTTGGGGGAGGCTGGAGAAGTGATACCCACCCTCCCCGTAACCTTGGTGATTCAAAGGGAAGGTAGCATTCTGTTGAAACAACAAAACAGTGAAGTCAGTATATACAATGTTAGTGTGGTACCTATCACTCATTTTTCTTCACCTAAAATTTGATAGATTTCAGCATAGAAATAATGTTTCATTAAAAAAACACTTTAAGAATGTCAACTCTGTATTCGACTGGCCATCTAAGGTATTCTTGTAACTTAAATAAAAAATCTGGGTTATGTTGAGAGATGATATTTAATTAGTTGTCAATTATATATGATTTCTTGTTTCACTTTGAGATAACAAACCTAACACAAGCACCCACCTGGCTGTTGTTTGTATTCTGGAATGCATTATTTCCTAAAGGCAAGGGCTTGGCCACACCAATACGTACAATCCCCTTAGAAGCACCTTTAAGGGCCTGTACTGCCTCATCCAGGTTTGCATTTTCTAGATTGTCTTCATTGACAAATATAAGTCGATCGCCTGGCACAAGACGGCCATCTTGTTGTGCGACACCTCCCGGGACAAGGCTCCGAATCACTATCACAGTCTCTGTAGGATTCCCTGGGTCCTAAATAAGTCAAAAGATACAATTTTCATATATATTATTCAAAAGGCCCAATTACTCACTTAATATTCTAATAAATTTGTCAATGATATTGAAACTTTGAAACTAGCCTGCTTACAATGTAAAGTAAACATTTATCTACAAGTGTTTGATCATTTTGGACAACAATTTGTGGGCACATGTAGCAATTTGAGTGTTGTGTTAAATTTGTCTATTGTAATCTAGAATAAGGGTCAAGATTGCTACCTTTACCAGTATTTGCCTGCTTTATCTGTGGAACCTATTAGTCAAACACCGTGATTCTAAGCCTTTCTGTTTATCAGAAGAAGGTGTGAGTAGTTAAACTACAATGCAATTTGACCCCATTTACCATGAAAATGACTCAAAATTTGATGGATTTACTCTAAGGAACCTTTGAGCATAATTTCATGATTCTAGGCATTTTGGTTCATTAGAAGAAGTAATTTAAAGGGAAAAGCTGAAGCAGCAGAGGGGGACGATGTCTTGGTGAAAGGTAAGTGCATACCACTGTGATACACAAACCAATTAACTTAATCATGCCTTGTAGCCCTTCATCAGGACATGAGGCATATCAAATCTCAGAACTTTAAATATTTTGGTTTTTGAGAAGATTTTTACACAGCCAAACCCTGTGACCTCTTAAAGCAAGTCAAGATCAATTTTCTTATTTTCTTTTTTTTCATAATACTTGATAGCTCTTCATCTAAGCATGGTATTAGTTTAATATTATGACCTTAGTTGGTTATGGAGAAATCATGACAGGTCACCTCATTAAATTTTTCACTCATGAATAACAAGTACATTTGATGGCCTAAAAATAGGTATCGCGACATATTTGAGCAGCACCATATCAGCTGTAGTGCTATAGGATTATTCAAATTTAACAAAAACCAAAATTGTGGCCAAAACCCTATAAAGACATTTAACTGTGTGACCTTGAAAATGGACAGAGGCAATTTATTTGAATGAATTAGGTAGCCGTTCATCCTATCTAGCTCTTGGCCCAATATCAGCATCCTAGGCCATTTTGTTAATAACACAATGTTTAAAAAATTGAAAAGACAAAAGTTGATATCGGTTGACTGAAAGACTGAGGATGTATGCTACACCATGGCCTTATCTGACAATGATGGGCTAAAAACTCAGGAATTTTTAAAGCAAAACACCTAAAAGTTTTACAGATAAAATCTGTTTCAGCCAAATGATCAAGAAATTGGAGACAGAAACTAAAGATTGTTTGTGCCAAAAACTTTTCTACTGCAAATCGTGGTGAAATGTTTAAGTCAGTTTAAACTATTATTGAAGCAATCGTCAGCAATGCCACAATGAATTCAAAACATCATGTTTTTGCACAAAAGTTGAACCACATTATAATGAATGTCTATATTTTTCCTCAATAGAGTTGTCTATATACAACATGTAGCTACCATAAACAACCAACTTTCAAAGAACCTAAATACACACAACTTATTTGATGGGGCTAACTGACTTTGTCGCCAACGAGAAAGTACCCCTACTTATGACAAGACCAATATGGTATATCTAAGCTGCCATGATCTGTTATCTAGTATAAGGTAAGTATAAAATCTAACATCCACTGAGGGTGAAATACTACTGTGAAATCATCTTTTGTTGTGCCAGTCAATCTACATGGTTTTTATTAATCCTTTTCCATGGATACTTGATTTTGAGGATACCATATTTAAAATGAAAATAAAATCCTGACAAAAACTTCTGATCCTACAGTATTGACTTAACTTTTCTTACTTTTACAAATTTACAATTTTTTTTATAAGAAGTTACATTTATAACCCAAATTTATCATTCCACACTTCTGAAGCTGAATAATAAGTGGTGTAAATGGTCAGTCCTACCTGATAATCTAGAATGCTAAATCCTAGACCCTTGTCTCCTTTCCTCAGCTCAATCACTACTGGCTCACCACTCCACATGGCTAAATTTGTCAATGGTTCGAGTGATCGAGATTTCATTTTGTTAAGGGAGTTTGGGGTGGAAGTACTATCCACAGAAGCAAGGGCCATCTCAGACTTGGCCTTCACAAGTCGGTCAGAGATGGGGGTGACTTCGTTCACTCCTGAATTCAGCTGTGAGCTGTGAAACTGCTTCTCCTCTGCTGCATAGATATCAGTGGAAGGCTTTTGTATCCGCCGAGCACATACCAGGCGCACATTCTGAGGCAGTTCTTTAAGTATTCCAACAACTTCCTTGTGGTTCAATCCTAACAGCCTCTTGCCATTCACCTACAACAAAGAAAGAAAATGATGACCGAATTGTATTTGTTGACAAAACTTGGCATTTATTTAAAGCTTTCTTCTGTATTTGATATTTAAGTTATCCACCTACAAGAGGCCCATGGGGTCTGTATTGCTCACCTAGCCAAATAAGTTTTTCGGTCAGCCATGTGGTCAAAATCACTGTTCATAAATGCTTCAGACCAAAACTTTGTTCTAGCCTCTTCTGCCCTAGCCCCTTCTGTCTAGCCCCTTCTGTCCCAGCCCCTTCTGTCCCAGCCCCTTCTGTCCCAGTCCCTTCTGCTCTAGCCCCTTCTGTCCCAGCCCCTTCTGCCCTAGCCCCTTTTATCTAGCCCCTTTTGTCCTAGCCCCTTCTGTCTAGCCCCTTCTGTCCCTAGTCCCTTCTGTATATCCCCTTCTGTCTAGCCCCTTCTGCCCTAGCCCCTTCTGACTAACCAGCAAAGATGCATGGTTTACCCATATTACCAAAACAATACTTAATAAATAAATAATATTAATTTCTCCTATTGGACCTTAATGTCCCTCCCACTCCAATGGTCCAAGATCCACCATTTATACAAAATGAAGTCATCTTTACCTTAGAATACTTCAGACCAAATAAGGCAAAGGGGTAACAGCTCAGTGTTCATACAAAATTATTCCCCTTCACACAAACATGTCAAAACTAGGGTAGAATTCTGGCATTTAGAAAAATGATTTTTAAGAATTTGTCCCTAATCCCATTATTGGTCCCTGCCCATCCTGTCCTGGGGCTGAGACCCATTGTTTATACAAAATTGAGTCTCCTATACCTTTGAATACTTTGTACCAACTTGTAGCACAATCCAATCATTCCTTCAGAAGAGTAGGATTTTAAGAATTTGCTCAATTTCCCATATTTTGCAAGCAAACAACCTGATGTGACTGTTTATCACAAAGCAAAAACTACCTGGTGTTGATGTTACATACAGTGAACACTACCTGGTGTTGATGTTACATACAGTGAAAACTACCTGGTGTTGATGTTACATACAGTGAAAACTACCTGGTGATGATGTTACATACAGTGAAAACTACCTGGTTTTGATGTTACATACAGTGAAAACTACCTGGTGTTGATGTTACATACAGTGAAAACTACCTGGTGATGATGTTACATACAGTGAAAACTACTGTGTGTTGATGTTACATACAGTGAAAACTACCTGGTGATGATGTTACATACAGTGAAAACTACCTTGTTTTGATGTTACATACAGTGAAAACTACCTGGTGTTGATGTTACATACAGTGAAAACTACCTGATGTTGATGTTACATACAGTGAAAACTACCTGGTGTTGATGTTACATACAGTGAACACTACCTGGTGTTGATGTTACATACAGTGAAAACTACCTGGTGTTGATGTTACATACAGTGAAAACTACCTGTGTTGATGTTACATACAGTGAAAACTACCTGGTGTTGATGTTACATACAGTGAAAACTACCTGTGTTGATGTTACATACAGTGAAAACTACCTGGTGTTGATGTTACATACAGTGAACACTACCTGATGTTGATGTTACATACAGTGAAAACAACCTGATGTTGATGTTACATACAGTGAACACTACCATGTGTTGATGTTACATACAGTGAAAACTACCTGGTGTTGATGTTATATACAGTGAAAACTACCATGTGTTGATGTTACATACAGTGAACACTACCTGGTGTTGATGTTCCATGCAGTGAACACTACCTGATGTTGATGTTACATACAGTGAAAACTACCTGGTGTTGATGTTACATACAGTGAACACTACCATGTGTTGATGTTACATACAGTGAAAACTACCTGGTGTTGATGTTACATACAGTGAAAACTACCAGATGAGTAAGTTATGTAGAGTATTGAGATTTTACCTCCAAGAGTTCATCACCACTCATGAGTCTACCATTGACTCCAACAGGTCCATCAGGAAGAATGGAACGGATGTAGTGATGAGGGCGCACCTCCTTTCCGTTTTCTACATCAACTGTTCCCTCCAGGCTTATTCCCAGCCCACCTCCTTCTTTAAACTTTGACAATTGGGCGACCTGAAGAAGATTTCATAAAGATTATTGACATATTTAGAGTATTTCTACAACATTTCACCGGTGTATCAATCTTGTTGTCTTTATCTTGTTCTACTGTCAACACAGAAAAAAAAATGTTAAGACAATTTCTTTTTTAAATTTTCATAAAAAAAAGTAGACAACTATTTATTTCAGATGCCTGTTCAGGTCTGACGAGCACTTAGGTCAGACAGCTATTTAAGTCTGATGACTGTTTAGTTAATCAACTGTTAGGGTTTTGTTCGAGTGATATTTCCTGATAGTTTTTGACTATTCTGTATAGTACATTGCTGGTATTGGAATACCACTGATTTCTCATACACAGTGACACATAGGCTGTTGAAGTTCCACTACAGAGCTGTTTCAGTGAGCAATTCTCCTTATCTTTGTTAGGATGAAAAAAACCCACTATGCTAAAGGCTGATTTTTGGGGACAAAAATGTATCCACTGGACTGAAAGTGTTGCTGCCTTTGTTAGGACAAAAACGTATCCACTGGACTGAAAGTGTTGCTGCCTTTGTTAGGACAAAAATATATCCACTGGACTGAAAGTGTTGCTGCCTTTGTTAGGACAAAAATGTATCAAACTATATGGCTTTTTTTTTGCAAATGAAAGAAATTGCTTAAAAAATCAACAAGAGGTCCATGGACCTTTAACGGTCACCTGATACACAATGCTACTGTTGTTCTAGTAACATGTCATAGAAATTACATTGTTAACAAAGATAACATGTAACACAGATATAAAAGGAGCATAACATTATTAAGGCTTCTAACCACATTTGAATTAAAAGAAATTACACTCAAAATGTATTGTTAGACATTAACATACTGGCAAGATTAACCTGTCTAATCTGACACTGTGTTAGACCCTTACTTACTGGCCAGATTAACCTGTCTAATCTGACACTGTGTTAGACCCTTACTTACTGGCCAGATTAACCTGTCTAATCTGACACTGTGTTAGACCCTTACTTACTGGTCAGATTAACCTGTCTAATCTGACACTGTGTTAGACCCTTACTTACTGGCCAGATTAAACTGTCAATCTGACACTGTGTTAGACCCTTACTTACTGGCCAGATTAACCTGTCTAATCTGACACTGTGTTAGACCCTTACTTACTGGTCAGATTAACCTGTCTAATCTGACACTGTGTTAGACCCTTACTTACTGGCCAGATTAACCTGTCTAATCTGACACTGTGTTAGACCCTTACTTACTGGCCAGATTAGCCTGTCTAATCTGACACTGTGTTAGACCCTTACTTACTGGCCAGATTAACCTGTCTAATCTGAAACTGTGTTAGACCCTTACTTACTGGTCAGATTAACCTGTCTAATCTGACACTGTGTTAGACCCTTACTTACTGGCCAGATTAACCTGTCTAATCTGACACTGTGTTAGACCCTTACTTACTGGTCAGATTAACCTGTCTAATCTGACACTGTGTTAGACCCTTACTTACTGGCCAGATTAACCTGTCTAATCTGACACTGTGTTAGACCCTTACTTACTGGCCAGATTAACCTGTCTAATCTGACACTGTGTTAGACCGTTACTTACTGGCCAGATTAACCTGTCTAATCTGACACTGTGTTAGACCCTTACTTACTGGTCAAATTTGTATATCTAATATGACATCTTGTTGTACCTGATACTTGGAAGATATCAATTAGACAGTATTGAAATATATCTGGTTAAACTGTTTGCTGATTGAGTTCCTTACCACGACTTCAAACTCTTCACCAATGATGGGTTCCCAGCATGCTCTGATCGCAGTTTCTGTATCAGGAAGCAGTTCACCTGCTGGAAAGTTAAAAAAAAAATACATTAAAACAACAAATTCTACTAGTTGTTGAACCCAGGAACATACAGTAACTGCATAAGCATCAGCTGATCAGAAGCAGTAACTGAAGATTTCAACCTCTTTTGACATAATTTGATGCCAACAACGTGTGGCAAAGGTCGATAAATAAACCTTAATCATCAATCAAGTATGACATCAAATATAAAACAAGAGGTCCAATGGACCTGCATCAATCAAATGGTATTCGATATTTCACTACCATTCAAAGTCTTGGTTAGTGAGAAGTCATTTGAAGGTCATAACAAATTTGACCCCTGTAAACTTGAATATGTGTCAAGGCCATTTTTCTTCATACAAATTGCCAGGTTTTATACAGGAACCAATCAGTCTAACATAATACTAGGACTTTCGGTGCATTTGATTTTTTATTGATTGTTTATATTTCTGCTGATGTTTTTTTTTTAAAGTTTCCCTGCTAGTAAGACCTTGTAACATGTTTATGTTTATATATTTCCCAATTTTATATATAATTCATATCCACAAACACAAACATTGTACTTACTGTAACCCTGATATTCTGGTGTCTCATACTTACTGTAATCCTGATATTCTGGCGTCTCATACTTACTATAATCCTGATATTCTGGCGTCTCATTCTTACTATAATCCTGATATTCTGGTGTCTCATACTTACTATAATCCTCATCAGTGAACAAGCTGATGTCATCTAGACTGATATTCTGGTGTCTCATACTTACTGTAATCCTGATATTCTGGTGTCTCATACTTACTGTAACCCTGATATTCTGGTGTCTCATACTTACAGTAATCCTGATATTCTGGCGTCTCATACTTACTATAATCCTGATATTCTGGCGTCTCATACTTACTATAATCCTGATATTCTGGTGTCTCATACTTACTATAATCCTCATCAGTGAACAAGCTGATGTCATCTAGACTGATATTCTGGTGTCTCATACTTACTGTAATCCTGATATTCTGGTGTCTCATACTTACTGTAACCCTGATATTCTGGTGTCTCATACTTACTGTAATCCTGATATTCTGGTGTCTCATACTTACTGTAATCCTGATATTCTGGTGTCTCATATTGTCTGTAATCCTGATATTCTGGTGTCTCATACTTACTGTAATCCTCATCTGTGAACAAGCCGATGTCATCTAGACTGATATTCTGGTGTCTCATACATACTGTAATCCTGATATTCTGGTGTCTCATACTTACTGTAACCCTGATATTCTGGTGTCTCATACTTACTGTAACCCTGATATTCTGGTGTCTCATACTTACTATAATCCTGATATTCTGGTGTCTCATACTTACTGTAACCCTGATATTCTGGTGTCTCATACTTACTGTAATCCTGATATTCTGGTGTCTCATACTTACTGTAATCCTGATATTCTGGTGTCTCATACTTACTGTAATCCTGATATTCTGGTGTCTCATACTTACTGTAATCCTGATATTCTGGTGTCTCATACTGATATTCTGTGTCTCATACTTACTGTAATCCTGATATTCTGGTGTCTCATACTTACTGTAATCCTGATATTCTGGTGTCTCATACTTACTGTAATCCTGATATTCTGGTGTCTCATGTAATCCTCATCTGTGAACAAGCCGATGTCATCTAGATGATATTCTGGTGTCTCATACTGTAATCCTGATATTCTGGTGTCTCATATTGTCTGTAATCCTGATATTCTGGTGTCTCATACTTACTGTAATCCTCATCTGTGAACAAGCCGATGTCTGGTATTCTGGTGTCTCATACTTACTGTAAACCTGATATTCTGGTGTCTCATACTTACTGTAATCCTGATATTCTGGTGTCTCATACTTACTGTAACCCTGATATTCTGGTGTCTCATACTTACTGTAATCCTGATATTCTGGTGTCTCATACTTACTGTAATCCTGATATTCTGGTGTCTCATATTGTCTGTAATCCTGATATTCTGGTGTCTCATACTTACTGTAATCCTGATATTCTGGTGTCTCATACTTACTGTAACCCTGATATTCTGGTGTCTCATACTTACTGTAACCCTGATATTCTGGCGTCTCATACTTACTGTAATCCTGATATTCTGGTGTCTCATACTTACTGTAATCCTGATATTCTGGTGTCTCATACATACTGTAATCCTGATATTCTGGTGTCTCATATTGTCTGTAATCCTGATATTCTGGTGTCTCATACTTACTGTAACCCTGATATTCTGGTGTCTCATACTTACTGTAATCCTCATCAGTGAACAAGCCGATGTCCTGGTGTCTCATACTGATATTCTGGTGTCTCATACATACTGTAATCCTGATATTCTGGTGTCTCATACTTACTGTAATCCTGATATTCTGGTGTCTCATACTTACTGTAATCCTGATATTCTGGATATTCTGGTGTCTCATACATACTGTAATCCTGATATTCTGGTGTCTCATACATACTGTAATCCTGATATTCTGGTGTCTCATATTGTCTGTAATCCTGATATTCTGGTGTCTCATACTTACTGTAATCCTCATCTGTGAACAAGCCAATGTCATGACTCTGGTGTCTCATACTACTGTAATCCTGATATTCTGGTGTCTCATACATACTGTAATCCTGATATTCTGGTGTCTCATAATGTCTGTAAGCCTGATATTCTGGTGTCTCATACTTACTGTAATCCTAATATTCCTCATACTAATCCTCACTGATATATTCTGGTGTCTCATACTTACTGTAATCCTGATATTCTGGCGTCTCATACTTACTGTAATCCTGATATTCTGGCGTCTCATACTTACTGTAATCCTGATATTCTGGTGTCTCATACTTACTGTAATCCTGATATTCTGGTGTCTCATACATACTGTAACCCTGATATTCTGGTGTCTCATACATACTGTAACCCTGATATTCTGGTGTCTCATACTTACTGTAATCCTGATATTCTGGTGTCTCATACTTACTGTAATCCTGATATTCTGGTGTCTCATACTTACTGTAATCCTGATATTCTGGTGTCTCATACATACTGTAACCCTGATATTCTGGTGTCTCATACTTACTGTAATCCTGATATTCTGGTGTCTCATACTTACTGTAACCCTGATATTCTGGTGTCTCATACTTACTGTAATCCTGATATTCTGGTGTCTCATACATACTGTAATCCTGATATTCTGGTGTCTCATATTGTCTGTAATCCTGATATTCTGGTGTCTCATACTTACTGTAATCCTCATCAGTGAACAAGCCGATGTCATCTAGACTGATATTCTGGTGTCTCATACATACTGTAATCCTGATATTCTGGTGTCTCATATTGTCTGTAATCCTGATATTCTGGTGTCTCATACTTACTGTAACCCTGATATTCTGGTGTCTCATACTTACTGTAACCCTGATATTCTGGTGTCTCATACATACTGTAATCCTGATATTCTGGTGTCTCATACTTACTGTAATCCTGATATTCTGGTGTCTCATACATACTGTAATCCTGATATTCTGGTGTCTCATACATACTGTAATCCTGATATTCTGGTGTCTCATACATACTGTAACCCTGATATTCTGGCGTCTCATACATACTGTAATCCTGATATTCTGGTGTCTCATACATACTGTAACCCTGATATTCTGGCGTCTCATACATACTGTAACCCTGATATTCTGGCGTCTCATACATACTGTAATCCTGATATTCTGGTGTCTCATACTTACTGTAATCCTGATATTCTGGTGTCTCATACTTACTGTAACCCTGATATTCTGGTGTCTCATACTTACTGTAATCCTGATATTCTGGTGTCTCATACTTACTGTAATCCTGATATTCTGGTGTCTCATACTTACTGTAACCCTGATATTCTGGTGTCTCATACTTACTGTAATCCTGATATTCTGGTGTCTCATACTTACTGTAACCCTGATATTCTGGTGTCTCATACTTACTGTAACCCTGATATTCTGGTGTCTCATACTTACTGTAACCCTGATATTCTGGTGTCTCATACTTACTGTAATCCTGATATTCTGGTGTCTCATACTTACTGTAATCCTCATCAGTGAACAAACCGATGTCGTCTAGACTGATATTCTGGTGTCTCATACTTACTGTAATCCTCATCAGTGAACAAACCGATGTCGTCTAGACTGATATTCTGGTGTCTCATACATACTGTAATCCTGATATTCTGGTGTCTCATACTTACTGTAATCCTCATCAGTGAACAAGCCGATGTCGTCTAGACTGATATTCTGGTGCCTGTCTTCAGATGACATGTCGATACCTGAGGCCAAGTTGTACGGTGGAATTGTATGCATCCCAATTGGCTGTGCTGTAAAACATAATGATTCTAGTAAGACAACATGCCCTTGGTGATATCAAAACAACACGCTTGTTACAATGGCAGTACTTTGTTAGTCAATGTGAAAAAAGTTGCTAGAAAATCTAGTATCCCAATTATCACAGGAGAGAGTATCAATTATCACAAGAGAGAGAGTATCAATTATCACAAGAGAGAGAGAGTATCTATTATCACAAGAGAGAGATTATCAATTATCACAAGAGAGAGAGTATCAATTATCACAAGAGAGAGAGAGTATCTATTATCACAAGAGAGAGAGTATCATTTATCTCAAGAGAGAGATTATCAATTATCACAAGAGAATGAGTATCAATTATCACAAGAGAGAGATTATCATTTATCTCAAGAGAGAGAGTATCAATTATCACAAGAGAATGAGTATCAATTATCACAAGAGAGAGATTATCATTTATCTCAAGAGAGAGATTATCAATTATCACAAGAGAGAGAGTATCAATTATCACAAGAGAATGAGTATCAATTATCACAAGAGAGAGAGTATCATTTATCTCAAGAGAGAGATTATCAATTATCACAAGAGAATGAGTATCAATTATCACAAAAGAGAGAGAGAGTATCAAATATCACAAGTGAGAGAGTGTCAATTATCACAAGAGAAAGAGTATCAAATATCACAAGTGAGAGAGTGTCAATTATCACAAGAGAGAGAGTATCAATTATCACAAGAGAGAGAGTATCAATTATCACAAGAGAAAGAGTATCAATTATCACAGGAGAGAGAGTTTCAATTATTATGACAACAAGTTGAATATCCTTAAAACTTACACAGGTATTGTTGGAGTTTCTCAAATTTTGGACCATGCTGATAGCGTGCAAGCTTCAAATGAACCATCTGACCTGTCTTACGAAGAACCTCAACAGCTTCATGGTTGGAAAACCCTGTCAACACCTGGTTGTCTACCTACAAACAAAGGCAATAAAACTTCATATCAAGAGATCACAGAGAGCCACCATTAAAACATTTCGTCTAATTTATACCTTTTCCCCTCTATTATCTTCTGTTCTCTTCTTTTCTTTTCTCTTATTTCTGATTTTTTATTGATAGGTGAATCAACAATCTGTCAACCATCTTGTTTTTTCAATCAGTGATAAGAAGTACAATGCACAACTAGCAAAGGCTCATTCTTCCATCTTTTTTAGGGCTGCATATGGCCCCATTCCTCATTGATCAGTCTCAGTGATCAGTCTCTGTGATCAATCTCAGAGATCAGTCTCAGTGATCAGTCTCTGTGAACAGTCACAGTGATCAGTATCTGTGATCAGTCTCAGTGATCAATCTCAGTGATCAGTCTCGGTGATCAGTCTCAGTGATCAGTCTCTGTGATCAGTCTCTGTGAACAGTCACAGTGATCAGTCTCGGTGATCAGTCTCAGTGATCAGTCTCGGTGATCAGTCTCAGTGATCATTCTCGGTGATCAGTCTCAGAGATCAGTCTCTGTGATCAGTCTCTGTGATCAGTCTCTGTGAACAGTCTCTGTGAACAGTCACAGTGATCAGTCTCAGTGATCAGTCTCAGTGATCAGTCTCTGTGAACAGTCACAGTGATCAGTCTCGGTGATCAGTCTCAGTGATCAGTCTCGGTGATCAGTCTCGGTGATCAGTCTCAGTGATCAGTCTCAGTGATCAGTCTCAGTGATCAGTCTCGGTGATCAGTCTCCGTGATCAGTCTCTGTGATCAGTCTCAGTGATCAGTCTCAGTGATCAGTCTCAGTGATCAGTCTCGGTGATCAGTCTCGGTGAACAGTCACAGTGATCAGTCTCGGTGATCAGTCTCGGTGATCAGTCTCTGTGATCAGTCTCGGTGATCAGTTTCGGTGATCAATCTTGGTGATCAGTCTCTGTGATCAGTCTCTGTGATCAGTTTCGGTGATCAGTCTCTGTGATCAGTCTCAGTGATCAGTCTCAGTGATCAGTCTCGGTGATCAATCTCAGTGATCAATCTCTGTGATCAGTCTCTGTGATCAGTCTCTGTGATCAGTCTCGTTGATCAGTCTCTGTGATCAGTCTCGGTGATCAGTCTCAGTGATCAGTCTCAGTGATCAGTCTCGGTGATCAGTCTCGGTGATCAGTCTCGTTGATCAGTCTCGGTGATCAGTCTCAGTGATCAGTCTCGGTGATCAGTCTCGGTGATCAGTCTCAGTGATCAGTCTCGGTGATCAGTCTCGGTGATCAGTCTCTGTGATCAGTCTCTGTGAACAGTCTCTGTGAACAGTCACAGTGATCAGCCTCGGTGATCAGTCTCAGTGATCAGTCTCTGTGATCAGTCTCTGTGAACAGTCACAGTGATCAGTCTCGGTGATCAGTCTCAGTGATCAGTCTCAGTGATCAGTCTCGGTGATCAGTCTCGGTGAACAGTCACAGTGATCAGTCTCGGTGATCAGTCTCAGTGATCAGTCTCAGTGATCAGTCTCGGTGATCAGTCTCGGTGATCAGTCTCAGAGATCAGTCTCTGTGATCAGTCTCGGTGATCAGTCTCGGTGATCAGTCTCAGTGATCAGTCTCTGTGATCAGTCTCTGTGAACAGTCTCTGTGAACAGTCACAGTGATCAGCCTCGGTGATCAGTCTCAGTGATCAGTCTCTGTGATCAGTCTCTGTGAACAGTCACAGTGATCAGTCTCGGTGATCAGTCTCAGTGATCAGTCTCAGTGATCAGTCTCGGTGATCAGTCTCGGTGAACAGTCACAGTGATCAGTCTCGGTGATCAGTCTCAGTGATCAGTCTCAGTGATCAGTCTCGGTGATCAGTCTCGGTGATCAGTCTCAGTGATCAGTCTCGGTGATCAGTCTCAGTGATCAATCTCGGTGATCAGTCTCTGTGATCAGTCTCGGTGATCAGTTTCGGTGATCAATCTTGGTGATCAGTCTCTGTGATCAGTCTCTGTGATCAGTTTCGGTGATCAGTCTCTGTGAACAGTCTCAGTGATCAGTCTCAGTGATCAGTCTCTGTGATCAGTCTCAGAGATCAGTCTCAGTGATCAATCTTGGTGATCAGTCTCTGTGATCAGTCTCTGTGATCAGTCTCAGTGATCAGTCTCGGTGATCAGTCTCAGTGATCAGTCTCGGTGATCAGTCTCGGTGATCAGTCTCAGTGATCAGTCTCTGTGATCAGTCTCAGTGATCAGTCTCAGTGATCAATCTTGGTGATCAGCCTCAGTGATCAGTCTCGGTGTTGTTCTCGGTGATCAGTCTCTGTGATCAGTCTCAGTGATCAGTCTTGGTGATCTCGGTGATCAGTCTCGGTGATCAGTCTCAGTGATCAGTCTCAGTGATCAGTCACAGTGATCAGTCTCAGTGATCAGTCTCAGTGATCAATCTCGGTGATCAGTCTCAGTGATCAGTCTAGTTGATCAATCTCGGTGATCAATTTCGGTGATCAGTTTCGGTGATCAGTCTCAGTGTTGTTCTCGGTAATCAGTCTTGGTGATCAGTCTCGGTGATCGGTCTCGGTGATCGGTCTTAGTGATTCGTCTTACTGATCAGTCATCAATGGTGAGAATACATGTCTCACAACTCTGCCCATATACTGGTGTTGAACTGGGGCCAATATCGTTGTCAATGGTGAGAATACATGTCTAACAGCTGTACCCATATACTGGTGTTGAACTAGGACCACCAGCAACTTCATCATCAATGGTGAGAATACATGTCTAACAGCTGTACCCATATACTGGTGTTGAACTGGGGCCAACATCATCAATGGTGAGAACACATGTCTAACAGCTGTGCCCATACTGGTGTTGAACTGGGGCCATCAACATCATCATCAATGGCAGAAATTTGGAATGAGAGGAAATATCCACTTTCATCTGACATCACTCTGAATACTCTTAATGGACATTGCCTGTTTCAATACAGAGTTGAAACTAAAATACAATGTTGTATTTACATAAGATACAACTTTGTCCAGTTTGAACACTGGTGAACAACCAAAGGGTTGCCAGCTAGTGAAATCTGTGGGAACAACCAAAGGGTTGTCAGCTAGTGAAATCTGTGGGAACAACCAAAGGGTTGCCAGCTAGTGAAATCTGTAGGAACAATAAAAGGGTTGTCAGATACTGAAATCTGTAGGAACAACCAAAGGGTTGTCAGCTAGAGAAATCTGTGGGAACAACCAAAGGGTTGCCAGCTAGTGAAATCTGTAGGAACAACAAAAGGTTTGCCAGCTAGTGAAATCTGTAGGAACAACCACAGGGTTGCCAGCAAGTGAAATCTGTAGGAACAACAAAAGGTTCGCCAGCTAGTGAAATCTGTAGGAACAACCAAAGGGTTGTCAGCTAGTGAAATCTGTAGGAACAACCAAAGGGTTGTCAGCTAGTGAAAGCTGTAAGAACAACCAAAGGGTTGTAAGCTAGTGAAAGCTGTGGGAATGTCATATTTATAATACCCTTCCTTATAAGCTCTATATAAGACAATACCCTTCCTTATAAGCTCTATATAACAGACAATACTCTTCTTTATAAGCTCTATATAACAGACAATACCCTTCCTTATAAGCTCTATATAACAGACAATACCCTTCCTTATAAGCTCTATATAACAGGTGATACCCTTCGTTATAAGCTCTATATAACAGACAATACCTTTCCTTATAAGCTCTATATAACAGACAATACCCTTCCTTTTAATCTCTATATAACAGACAATACCCTTCCTTATAAGCTCTCTATAACAGACAATACCCTTCCTTATAAGCTCTATATAACAGACAATACCTTTCCTTATAAGCTCTATATAACAGACAATACCTTTCCTTATAAGCTCTATATAACAGACAATACCCTTCCTTATAATCTCTATATAACAAACAATACTCTTCTTTATAAGCTCTATATAACAGACAATACCCTTCCTTATAAGCTCTATATAACAGACAATACCCTTCCTTATAAGCTCTATTTAACAGGTGATACCCTTTGTTATAAGCATTATATAACAGACAATACCTTTCCTTATAAGCTCTATATAACAGACAATACCCTTCCTTTTAAGCTCTATATAACAGACAATACCCTTCCTTATAAGCTCTCTATAACAGACAATACCCTTCCTTATAAGCTCTATATAACAGACAATACCTTTCCTTATAAGCTCTATGTAACAGACAATACCTTTCCTTATAAGCTCTATATAACAGACAATACCCTTCCTTATAATCTATATATAACAGACAATACCTTTCCTTATAAGCTCTATATAACAGACAATACCCTTTCTTATAAGCTCTATATAACAGACAATAACATTCCTTATAATCTCTACATATCACACAATACCCTTCTTTATAAGCTCTATATAACACACAATACCGATCCTTATAAGCTCTATATAACAGACAATACTCTTCTTTATAAGCTCTATATAACAGACAATACCCTTCCTTATAAGCTCTCTATAACAGACAATACCTTTCCTTATAAGCTCTATATAACAGACAATACCCTTCCTCATAAGCTCTATATAACAGACAATACCGATCCTTATAAGCTCTATATAACAGACAATACCCTTCCTTATAAGCTCTATATAACAGAAAATAACCTTCCTTATAAGCTCTATATAACAGACAATACCGATCCTTATAAGCTCTATATAACAGAATAGATGTTCCTATAACACAACCAGTAGAAGTTTATGTATACTGAGGGTTGGTGGTACAGACCAAAAAATACACAAGATAACAATGTTCTTCTGTCTGATTTTGTATACACATTCTGTGACATTGTCTTTGGTTGTTTTATCCTTAGGATGGACTAGGATATTTTGTGGAGTCTTGTGAGACTTCATGGCTGTTGCAATGACCATGGTAACTCAATAAAATGATCTAGTGCCTTTCTGTGGCTTTGGCTGACGACATTAGGAAGGTGATGGTTCCCACAGTCAGAAAAAAACTAGTTAGGTTACATCTTTTACTCAGATAATTGGTGATATATTTTTCACAGCTAGCGTTGATAATAGCAACAAATGTTATGTTTTCTCTGTTGTAGCTTACAGCTACCCAGCACATACTTTTCCTAACAACAACTGACATTGGTGTCTCATCCATATCCCAAATATATTGGTTCATGTGTTATATACTGTTGTAAGAAGGAATTTTGTTGAAATGTCTTCATTTACTGAGGCATCACAATCAAGATGCTGACAATACTGACAGTTTCATCAATCAGTTCTTCCTAGGAATACTATTCTTACAGTAGCAATATCAAAGTTTTCAAAATGGTTGCTATGACAATATCTACAGACCAAATTATTACCTGTCTTAATTATCAATTGTATAATCTTATCAAGTAGAATCAATTGTCTTAATTCTCACCTGTATAATCTGGTCAAGTCTAATTACCGTTGTCTTAATTATCACCTGTATAATCTGGTCAAGTCTAATAACCTTTGTCTTAATTCTCACCTGTATAATCTGGTCAAGTCTAATTACCGTTGTCTTAATTCTCACCTGTATAATCTGGTCAAGTCTAATTACCGTTGTCTTAATTCTCACCTGTATAATCTGGTCAAGTCTAATTACCGTTGTCTTAATTCTCACCTGTATAATCTGGTCAAGTCTAATTACCTTTGTCTTAATTCTCACCTGTATAATCTGGTCAAGTCTAATTACCTTTGTCTTAATTCTCACCTGTATAATCTGGTCAAGTCTAATTACCGTTGTCTTAATCTCTCACCTGTATAATCTGGTCTCACCTGTATAATCTGGTCAAGTCTAATTACCTTTGTCTTAATTCTCACCTGTATAATCTGGTCAAGTCTAATTACCTTTGTCTTAATTCTCACCTGTATAATCTGGTCAAGTCTAATTACCTTTGTCTTAATTCTCACCTGTATAATCTGGTCAAGTCTAATTACCTTTGTCTTAATTCTCACCTGTATAATCTGGTCAAGTCTAATTACCTTTGTCTTAATTCTCACCTGTATAATCTGGTCAAGTCTAATTACCTTTGTCTTAATTCTCACCTGTATAATCTGGTCAAGTCTAATTACCTTTGTCTTAATTCTCACCTGTATAATCTGGTCAAGTCTAATTACCTTTGTCTTAATTCTCACCTGTATAATCTGGTCAAGTCTAATTACCTTTGTCTTAATTCTCACCTGTATAATCTGGTCATTGACTTGTATTCGGCCATCTTGTGCAGCTGCACTCCCCTCTCCAATGCTTTTGACAAAAATACCACAGAGCTCATCTGAAAACAGGTTAAATATCAATGTCAGTGCCATTATACCCTGCTGGACATCCTCACACAAAGCGTGACATGTGAGTAATGAGCAGTGTTATCTGGTACTGCCTATATAACATGTGAACATTTTGAGGCATACCATATAGAAATAAATGTTTGAATTGTGTTGTCAGTGATCAGTAAATGTAATATATATTTATATAAATGTTATACAAAATTGAGCAGGTACAACAAGGTCACACTTGATCTAAAATACTGTAAATATTCACATATTGTGCACACTCATGTAATACGCAGGTGTTTTTTGGGAAATCAATAGGCCTAGCAGCCTCTATGTCACCTGAGATAAGCAATATTGAATATAAAGGTTAAAGGGTAGTTATCAAGTGTCATGAAACAGAAAGTGATACTGAACATACCATCAGTTATTTCCAACAGAAAAAAAAACGTTATGTTCAAAAATGCAATTTTTTGCCATGAAATTTATAGAAATGGCTAAAAAAAAAAATTCCTCCCCAGGAAGAAATGTGAGACTCATTTTGGTAATTTAAGCACCTTAAGATGCTTCCATTCATAAAGAGTATTTGATTCTATCATATCTCGGTGTTGAGAAAAAGATTTAAAAAATTTTAGTCAATTCGACCCCATTTGGCCCCGCCCATCAGTGCCTAGGGGTCAGCCAGGATCGAAATGGGCAAACCATTACTTCATCATCCTTCATTCATATTTCTAACCAAATTTGAAATATTTCCAAGACAAATTAAACTAATTACGTTCAAGTTTCCCTATATAAACTATAGTAAAATTGACTCCCTCCCCACGGGGAAATGTGACATGCTGGGGCCATGAAATTCACAATTTTGGTAAAACACCTTAAGATGCTTCCATTCAAGAAGAGTATTTGATTCTACCATGTCTTTGTCTTGAGATAAAAGATTTTTGAAATCCAAGCCAATTTGACCTCTTTTGGCCCAACCCCTCAGGCCCCTTGGAGTTGGGTACTGTTTAATTCTCAATTGTGGTTCATCTTAGGCCAGGGAAGGTTTCTGGAAAATTTCATTGAAAATCGCACCTGGACATTTTGGGAAGAGGTCAAAAATGTTGAATTGTTCACTGACGCACGATGCCAGATGAAGGTGATTGCAATCGGTCACCATGAGACTTTGGTGACCTTAAAATCTAATAAAAAGAACATTTTTCGCAAGAGTAATTATTGCCAACTAGTATAGATGACTTGGTAAAACTATGTGTCCACTGATCACAAAACATTGCAGTTTTCACAAGATGTGCTCAATGAACTAAATAGATCACTTTTCACACATAAATTGTGGTATTACTACAAAGCCTTGATACAGTACCTAGAAGCCAGTGATATTACTACACAGCCTTGATACAGTATCTTGAATTCAGTGATATTACTACACAGCCTTGATACAGTATCTAGAATTCAGTGATATTACTACATAACCTTGATACAGTATCTAGAATTCAGTGATATTAATAGATAGCCTTGATACAGTATCTAGAATTCAGTGATATTACTACATAGCCTTGATACAGTATCTAGAATTCAGTGATATTACTACATAGCCTTGATACAGTATCTAGAATTCAGTGATATTACTACATAGCCTTGATACAGTATCTAGAATTCAGTGATATTATTACATAGCCTTGATACAGTATCTAGAATTCAGTGATATTACTACATAGCCTTGATACAGTATCTAGAATTCAGTGATATTACTACATAGCCTTGATACAGTATCTAGAATTCAGTGATATTACTACATAGCCTTGATACAGTATCTAGAATTCAGTGATATTACTACATAGCCTGGATACAGTATCTAGAATTCAGTGATATTACTACATAGCCTTGATACAGTATCTAGAATTCAGTGATATTACTACATAGCCTTGATACAGTATCTAGAATTCAGTGATATTACTACATAGCCTGGATACAGTATCTAGAATTCAGTGATATTACTATATAACCTTGATACAGTATCTAGAATTCAGTGATATTATTACATAGCCTGGATACAGTATCTAGAATTCAGTGATATTATTACATAGCCTTGATACAGTATCTAGAATTCAGTGATATTACTACATAGCCTGGATACAGTATCTAGAATTCAGTGATATTATTACATAGCCTGGATACAGTATCTAGAATTCAGTGATATTACTACATAGCCTGGATACAGTATCTAGAATTCAGTGATATTACTATATAACCTTGATACAGTATCTAGAATTCAGTGATATTACTATATAACCTTGATACAGTATCTAGAATTCAGTGATATTATTACATAGCCTTGATACAGTATCTAGAATTCAGTGATATTACTACATAGCCTTGATACAGTATCTAGAATTCAGTGATATAACTACATAGCCTTGATACAGTATCTAGAATTCAATATGATCATCTAAATGAGCAATCTGTGTGATAAATAAAGACTCAGATTACACCTTACTCAATTTGATTAAAATCTTAAGTTATTTGACAGAAACAAAGGAATTATGTATTTGATGGATTTCAAAGTCTTGTAACTCTGCCAAATATTTGAAGATGTAAAGCAATATAGCAAATTTGGTTTACATTTTGCTAACAAATTAAGTTATGAAATGGAATTACAATAGAATCAGTGAAACTTATCAATGCTTCCCAAATAGGACTTTATTGGACACAAAATTTTAACAAACGGCAATAATTCTGTAATTAAGGGGTTTCAAGCACTGAATTTAGTAGTGTACATCCTCTTTGTATGATCAATGTATCCACCAAGTTTCCTTATCCTAGTTTTAATGCAAGCAAAGTGAATGCCCATGACACAAATTTTTAATAAAAGACGTTTTGGGGAATTGAAAATAAATAATTTATCTTCAGGATTTTTGAGTGCCATAACTCTGGCAGTGTTGTCAGGTTTTTAACAATGTTGAATGCATTCAAGATTTTATTTTTAAACAGTAAAATCAAAAGCTATTTCATGAAATTATCTTTTTTGAGGAGTTCACCAAGTCCTGTAACTATAAAAAATGAAAGATGAATTTTCATCAATACCTATGTTTTCTGAGGTCTAATTGATATAAAGCATTACATTTAAATTTTGATTTTTGAAAGTCTCATACCTCTGGCATATGTTAACAATTTGTTCTTTTTTCTTCTTTCCTCTAATTAGCTCTTATAAAATTTTAAAATCCTTTTAGAAAAAGCGTTAATAATCGTTTTCATTGCCAAATCCAAGATGGTTGCCTGTCAGCCATTTTTATGTTTACAATCAGTCCCAAAATCAAACAGGTAAAACAAGAGACCATGAGGTATCTACAGTTAAATCTCTGAGAGGTTCATCGAGTACTTCTCTCAAGAAATAGCAATATCAAACTTTAACTTCAAAATGCAATATGGCCACCAATCTGCTAGGGTTGAAGAGGCTGCTAGATATGAAAATTTGAGAAAGATTCATCTTGTAACTTCTCAAGAAATAGTGATTACAAATCTTATTGTAAAAATCCAAGATGGCCACAAGTCGAACAATTTGCTTGATCACTTCTAAAATCAAACAGGCACAACTAGGGACCAAAATGAAATTACATATGGAATATGGCGATTTTAATAGCCCACAATCTAATGATGGTAAGCTAAACATAAGAATAATGCTTTCTATCTATCATGGCTGGAATCCACAAGATCAGAGTTAATACTAAACTCAAAAGTTACATACCTGGGGAGTTCTCACGACCAACATAGCCAGCAATTGTTATACCAAGGCCCTGGTCATCCTTCATCAAGTTCACATCAAAATACTCAACCTCTGGGAACTCTGGGGGCTACAATATCAACAATCCTACTCTATACACAGCCATGAAAGATCATGTCAAATGCTGTTGATTGTATTAATTTTCCTTAACTTACAAGAGGCCCAATTGGCCTGCATAGCTCACATAATCTATTACAGGAAATCTGTTGTCTTTTCAATTATAATTGATCATCTTCACAACACCAATACTTTTCATAGAAGAAATGAAAACACTTTCAGCCAAGTCTTTGTCTCACAGATAAATATATGAAGTTTTGATATGATGAACAAGGGGAGACAACTTTGAAAACACAAAAATCATTTGAAGTAAACAAAAGGAGAAGCAACATGTGAATAGTTTTAAATTCTCCCTCATTCAATATTCCTTCTTCAAGTAAATGACCTTATATAGATATAATAGATATAATTTAACAATGTGTCAGTATCCACCACTTCATGATATCATTTTAAAATATGTTTTATCCCTTGCCAAGTAGTAGAGGTGTGTTGCTGCTTTTCTGTGAAGAATATATTTGTCAAGATAAGCAGCAGGTCAACCACAGATAGGAATGATACAGCATCTAAATATGTATTGTGTATGAGTTCTATACTTACTATGTGGACCTGTACAAGTCCATCCATATTCTGTTGTTGCTGCTGTTGCTGCTGCTGCTGTTGTTGTTGCTGCTGTTGTTGGATATTTTCATCAGACATTGTCTGGATGTCCGTTCCCTCCAGGAATCGGTTAATTTGTTGAATGTGGTCCTCAAGCTGGTGTGTCGGTACAATAGGGGCTTGAGGAACAGGGATAGGAGAAGGCTCCAAGACAGGACGTGCAACAATAAGTCTAACATGGCTACCAGACTGACGTAAGACAGAAGCAACTTGCTCAGAGCCCATACCTCTTACATTGACATCACCAATCTGTAGGACATGGTCACCACTGTGAAGTCGTCCATTCTGTGAATACAAAAAAATGGCTATTTAGTGGCTTATAAAGTATTCATACTTATGACACATACGTAGTCCTACTGACAAACCTATACACAGTCATACTAACAAACTTATACATACTGACAAACCTATACACAGTCATACTAACAAACTTATACATACTGACAAACTTATACACAGTCATACAAAAAACTTATATACAGTCATACTGACAAACTTATACACAGTCATACTGACAAATGTATGTAGAATTGTATGTTAAATATTGTACTCACCAAGTCAGCCACTCCACCTGGTAGAATAGTCTTAACCACCACCCCGGTACTCCGCCCACCAATAATACCAAACCCAAGTCCTGTTCCATCATTGATCAAATCAATAACTTCAATTTGGGTCCATTCTGTGTTCAACTGTAATTATACAAATAAAATACAAATTAACATGAAATAATATATCTGGCATGTCTCCATATCATCAGATCAGTGTCCCCCACTTCTCTATATCATCAGATCAGTGTCCCCCACTTCTCTATATCATCAGATCAGTGTCCCCCACTTCTCTATATCATCAGATCAGTGTCCCCCACTTCTCTATATCATCAGATCAGTGTCCCCCACTTCTCTATATCATCAGATCAGATCAGTCCCCCACTTCTCTATATAACATCAGATCAGCGTCCCCCACTTCTCTATATCATCAGATCAGTGTCCCCCACTTCTCTATATCATCAGATCAGCGTCCCCCACTTCTCTATATCATCAGATCAGTGTCCCCCACTTCTCTATATAACATCAGATCAGTGTCCCCCACTTCTCTATATAGCATCAGATCAGCGTCCCCCACTTCTCTATATCATCAGATCAGTCTCCCCCACTTCTCTATATAGCATCAGATCAGTGTCCCCCACTTCTCTATATAGCATCAGATCAGCGTCCCCCACTTCTCTATATCATCAGATCAGTGTCCCCCACTTCTCTATATCATCAGATCAGTGTCCCCCACTTCTCTATATCATCAGATCAGTGTCCCCCACTTCTCTATATCATCAGATCAGTGTCCCCCACTTCTCTATATCATCAGATCAGTGTCCCCCACTTCTCTATATCATCAGATCAGTGTCCCCCACTTCTCCATATCATCAGATCAGTGTCCCCCACTTCTCTATATCATCAGATCAGTGTCCCCCACTTCTCTATATCATCAGATCAGCATCCCCCACTTCTCTATATCATCAGATCAGTGTCCCCCACTTCTCTATATCATCAGATCAGTGTCCTCCACTTCTCTATATAACATCAGATCAGCGTCCCCCACTTCTCTATATCATCAGATCAGCGTCCCCCACTTCTCTATATAACATCAGATCAGCGTCCCCCACTTCTCTATATCATCAGATCAGTGTCCCCCACTTTTCTATATCATCATATCAGTGTTCCCCACTTCTATATCATCAGATCAATGTCCCCCACTTCTCTATATCATCAGATCAATGTCCCCTACTTCTCTATATCATCAGATCAGTGTCCGCCACTTCTATATATATTCAGATCAGTGTCCCCTACTTCTCCATAACATCAGATCAGAGTTCCCTTCTTCCCCATATTATCAGATCAGAGTCCCTCACTTTTCGATATCATTGGAATTAATAAGAAAACATATGACATTTCCGACATTATTGTTCTAAAAACTCCAGAATAATTTTATATGCGTCTCAAAATCATGAAAATTGACTCCCTTTCCACCCCTTTTTAAAAATTTAAAAAATAGACGCTACGAAGTAAATTTCATAAAATCATCACATAAGTTCAGCATTTACTAGCTACAATATATTTCAATGAAGTTTGGTTGGCCAAGCACTTGTACTTGGCTGAAATAAAGCTTTTAAAAAAACTGTAAGAGACCATGTCTGTTAAGAGACTAACTGAGTAAGAGACCACCTCTGTTAAGAGAGTACATCTGTCAAGAGACTCTTCTGGTCAGAGACTACCTCTGTAAAGAAACTTCCTCTGTTAAAAGACCTCTTCTGTTAAGAGACTACCTCTGTTAGGAGACCCCATCTGAGACCCTTTTCCATCTATTCTTTCTGTTGGTGACCTTAATTTCAGGTCAAAACTAGCTAATGTTTAAACACAGTATCACATTTGAAATTCCCAGATTAAGTATCATCCAATGTGTGTGATATAAAGAGTGTCTTTGTTGTGAATGCTGTTGATATTATTGACAAAGTTCTATAAATAGTTAACTGATCAATGTTCTTGCTTTGCTTCAAAATAGAAAAATATCTTAATGCATCATGCTCATTTCTTTTTTGATCAAGCCATCTTTAAATTTAAGATAATTCCATTGTATAAATTGTAGTCATCTCTACTGGTATAAAGTAAGAAATGAGTAAGATTATATTTGTCATGTTCATGTCAGTCAATTTGGGTATTTCTTACAGAAAGAAATGTTTCTTCACAGTTATACAAGATAAGAAAAAGCCAAAGTCAGATTACAGTATCATTGCTGGACCATTTATTTTGAAACAATAACTACATCTGTAAAAATACAGAGATTTAGGCAATAGTTCTAAGGTCTACTCTCTGGTGGTCAGTGTATGGTGGTACAAGTCACTGTATGGTGGTACAGGTCACTGGCACAGGTCAGTGTATGGTGGTACAGGTCAGTGTATGGTGGTACAGGTCACTGGTACAGGTCACTGTATGGTGGTACAGGTCATTGTATGGTGGTATAGGTCACTGTATGGTGGTACAAGTCACAGTATGGTGGTACAGGTCACTATATGGTGGTACAGGTCACTGTATGGTGGTATAGGTCACTGTATGGTGGAACAGGTCACTGTATCGTGGTACAGATCACTGGTACAGGTAACTGTATGGTGGGACAGGTCACTGTATGGAGGGACAGGTCACTGTATGATGGTACAGGTTACTGTATGGTGGTACAGGTCACTGTATGGTGGTAGAGGTCACTGGTACAGGTCACTGTATAGTGGGTACAGGTCACTGTATGGTGGTACAGGTCACTGGTACAGGTTACTGTATTGTAGTACAGGTCACTGTATGGTGGTATAGGTCTTTGGTACAGGTCATTGTATGGTGTTACAGGTCACTGTATGGTGGTACAGGTCACTGTAAGGTGGTACAGGTCACTGTTTGATGGTACAGGTCACGGTATGGCAGTAAAGATCATTATATGGTAGTACAGGTCACTGTATGGTGGTAGAGGTAATTGTATGGTGGTACAGGTCACTGTATGGAGAGACAGGTCACTGTATGATGGTACAGGTTACTGTATGGTGGTACAGGTCACTATATGGTGGTATAGGTCACTGTATGGTGGTATAGGTATCGGTACAGGTCACGTTATGGTGGTATAGGTCACTGGCACAGGTCACTGTATGGTGGTATAGGTCACTGGTACAGGTCACTGTATGGTGGTACAGGACACTGTATGGTGGTACAGGTCACTGTATGGTGGTACAGGTCACTGTATGGTGGTATAGGTCACTGGTACAGGTCACTGTATGGTGGTATAGGTCACTGTATGGTGGTACAGGTCACTGTATGGTGGTATAGGTCTATGGTACAGGTCACTGTATGGTGGTACAGGTCACTGTATGGTGGTACAGGACACTGTATGGTGGTACAGGTCACTGTATGGTGGTACAGGTCACTGTATGTTGGTATTGGTCACTGGTACAGGTCACGGTATGATGGTATAGGTCACTGGCACAGGTCACTGTATGGTGGTATAGGTCACTGGTACAGGTCACTGTATGGTGGTACAGGTCACTGTATGGTGGTATAGGTCACTTTATGGTGGTACACTAAATATGTTTAACTATCTACTACAAGTCATCATGTCCCCTTCCACCCATCCATGAAATGTAGTAAATCTACTAAGCCTTTTAACAGCAGCATGGTTTAAATCAAAATTAGTTTTATCAATTTAAGTATAACAATGGTGAGAACAGTTTACCGGCTTTGCCTGTGTAATAGGTAGTTCTGAGCTGATATGTGGGCGCTTGGTGTTGAGATAGCACATTGTGGCTACCAGCGCCCCACAGATTGCGTCCTGAAAAGACTGACCAAGGTGAACATCCATTTAACACTCCATCAAAGGAACACACTACACCTCCTCCACAACACCCAGAGAAACCAGCATGCATGCAGTTCCTCCACACTACCACTGTAATCATTACCACACAACAACACAATGTATTTTCCTAGTTTGTGTCAACACAGTTCTCCACTGTCATTATGAAGTTATTGCCAGGACAACAGTTCTTCTCCACCTTACATCTAGTGTCACTCCACACAGAGCCTCGACAACTTTCTCCACTGGAAGTTTAGATAGATATTCTCTATCAACATAGTCTGCCCAACGCTCGTGTGTCAGATGTATGCACAGCTACGAAAGCTTTATCATAACCAACAAAATCTTACCTTTGCTTTATATGGTGTCTGGTGAGAGGAATCCACATGACTGCCAGCTAGGAGATACACCTCGTGCTGGCAGTGCAATGCACACATCTCACCAGAAATCATCTGAATCATTTTAGTTTTTTATTGTTAAAGTGACAAGATTTTTAATGTTAATGATCCCTGAAGATTTCATTCTTTCATAAAACAAAATCCTGGCATCACAACAGAAGGATGCACTTCTAGCGTGAAAAATGGATCAAAAGGATAGGCATTTATTAAGTGAGAGTGATAATACTTTTGACAAATCTGAGATTGAACACAACAAATTGTTCTAGTTTTTATGACCTGTACACTGAGTTTTCTTCACCCAAAATCTCATGCAAAGTGGAGGCATCTCTGTAACCACAACGTTTAATTCAAAGTATTGTATTTTTGAAAGTGAGATAAAATTCTCTCAAAAATGCCTCACAGCAAAAAGCTACCAGTACAGTCACATATAACACATGGCTTCAGCAAACAACACAGCGATAATTTGTTGTAAAGTCAGCCATTATCACAGAAAATGAACCAACAATTATGTATCACTTATCTGGATTGGTAAGTCACAATTGCATTATACAAATTTCAGTAAAAGGTACTTTTGAAGATTTTTTTGTAATCCTATTTCCCCTCTAGACCCCGCCCCTTTGCCTCTGGGGGTCAGAGCTGGCTTTTGGAATCCCCTCTACCTATAGAGGCTCTCTACCCATTAAGGCTTCACACAAAATTTTGTCCCCATCTTGTCACCCCTCCTGAAGAGCCCCAGGAGTGTCAGAACCATCACTTACAAAAACTGAGTCCTCTTCACTCTAGAATGTGTCATACTAAATTCTAAAGAAAGACTTTCACCCAAACAGAAGTAGGATTATATATGGTATTTCCTTTATTTTTCCTAAATGGCCCCTCCCTTCTGTTGAGCCTCCTTCCCATAAAGATGCATCTGA